CATGTCATGAGCCCCACTCGACCGACATACCTAAAATTTATAACATTTACTTTATAGCCCTTTTCTTTGGCATAGCTACATGTCCAGCATCATTGTGTTTGTACTTTTGAGTCATTATTAAATAAGATAAGGGTTACTTGAATATAAACACTGTAAAATGAGGACAATCTGATAGCTAAGGTAACTACCAAATGACTGGTGGGTGACTAGCATCCCTAACACGGATACACTGAACACAGAGATGGTTCATGCTCCAGGCAGGATGGGCAGGGACAGCCTGAGAATGGACCAAGCTCAGAACACCGTGCAATTTAGAAGTTACAATTTGTTTGTTTCTGAAACTCTCCATCAGCTGGCTTTGGACCACCACTGAGTGCAGGATAACGACATCGAAGAGGGTGAAGCTGCATCCCATGTGCACACATATGTACAGTTGTCTGTGGCAGGTGTTCTGGAGAAGTCATCATCTGAACTTGGTGATGAGGAGGGAGGTGGGGGAAGTCAGGGATGGTGCTGAGCTTTTGGGCATGGGTGGAGAGTGAACGGTGGTGCCAGTCACAAAGAAGCCCGGAGGGAAAATTGGCTCAGGAAACTCAGGAGCTCTGCTCTGGAGTGGTGAGTCTGGCAGCTTCCCTGACTGCCCAGGAGGCAGGTGCACACTAGAGCCTGAAGATGGAGCACCAGGTCTGGGCATGAAGAATGAATTTGTGAATCATTAACCAGTGCTTGGGAGGATCAAAGCTCTGTGAGCGAGAGAAAGAGTAGACCCTAAAGGATCCTGTCTTATACTCATGGCCTGTCTTTGTGGGATGCCTGTCAGGTTTGTGATACAGTGACAAATGAAACACACTCTCAACTTTTCTGGAGCTCAGGCTAATGGAGAAACTAGAGTTGGCTCTTGTGGTACCCGATACTCATCGAGAAGGAGAATATAAAACCACTTCTACAAGATTAGGTGTGTAAAGGGAGAGAAGACCCATAGCCCAAGCTTCATCAGCTGCACCAAAAGTTCTCCTGGGTGGGGAAGATGGAGAAGTCAAAGTTATAGCCTGGTACACAGGCACACATGCAAACACTTTCCATTTTGAGAGCTGATAACCATAGGCATCTATGGCACAGCCCTTCAGACTTCAAGTGAGAGGAGACCCCAGGCTGCAGGTTTGGGTGCCACCTGTCCTTACTCTGTCCAGGAGTCCAAGGTTCTTGTCTGCTGCATTAGCTTTGGTTTACTCAGGCCAGTCCTAAACAGAAGGGAACCATCTTTAAAGGTACTGCAGAGGGCCAGGAGAGGCCTGGGAGAGCAGGATGCAGGAATCTGCCCTGAAGGAGTGCGGTCTTGTCGTCATGTGCTGAGGCCGCAGGAACGGAGGCTGTCTGTGAGGAATGAGACGGTGGCTGTGCCGTGCAGAGTGTGGCCAGAGCTCCAGCAGCGTGAACGTTGGAAAGAAGTGTGAACAAGGAAGTGTGAGATTCACACCAAGCACTTAGTATTCAAAAAAGAAGGCAAAACACTTCAACTTCTTTATGTCCATTGCTTGTTGTAGTCGGATTTTTCTTTGGGCACCAACTCCCAAATAATGACACAGAGACTTCTTATTAATTATAAAACCTCAGCCTTAGCTTAGGCTCTTATAATGCACATTAACCCATTTATTTTAAACTACGTTCTGTCGTGCAGCTCGTTACCTCATCTGTCTGTACTGCCCATGTTGCTTCTTCCAAGTCTGGCTGACGACTCCACCTTTCCTCTTCCCAGAGTTCTCTCTGTCTCTGGAAGTCCCGCCTAGCCTCTTCCTGTCCAGCTATGGACCATTCAGCTCTTTATTAAGCCAATCACAGTGACACATCTTCACACAGTGTGAGGGAATATTCTGCAACAGCTTGCTGAAATGGTACTTTTGGAGGACTGGAGCTATAGCTCAGTGGTAGAGCACTTGTCTGACATATTGATCTGTGAGTTTGAACTCCAATGCAGTAAAAACAACAAAATGTGAATGTGGGGAAGCACTGGGGAAAGGCCCAGATTGGGTGCAGTGGCACACACCTTTTATCCCAGCACTTGGGAGGCAGAGGCAGGCAGATCTCTATGAGTTCCAGGCCAGCCTGGTCTACAGACCAAGCTCTGGGACAGCCAAGGCTACACAGAGAAACCCTGTCTCGAAAAACAAACCAAACAACATCCCCCCAAGTTGTTTGTAGCACTGCACTGTGGACGATCAGGAGGCTGGTTCAGAGGAAGCCCAGCTCTCTCTCCAGGGGACAGGGAGGCTTCTAGAACATAGAGAAAGGACATGATGTGATGTGTTTGGAAACTCACTGTGCTGAGGGGGTGGAAGATAAACTGTGCTGAGGGGTTGGAGGAACAGATCCAGGCTCACAGACTTTCTGGGTCTGGAGGCCGGAGAGTGGAGGCCAAACTGAGCTGCCTGAGACCAGGCCTACTGCTTCACTGGTGTGGGCAGTGAGGCAGAGGGAAGAATATGCTCACAGCCATTTGTAATTCCAGTTCCTGGGGTCCCTTTTCTGGCCTCTTAAGCACCAGGTATGCACAAGGTACAGATACATATATGTAGGCAAAACACCCATTCATATTAAATTTTAAAAATTAAAAAAAAAAGGTTGACATGAAAGTTTGTCAATCTGAGTTTGATTCCTGGAACCCACAAAAAATGGAAAGAGAGCCGGGCGGTGGTGGCGCACGCCTTTAATCCCAGCACTCGGGAGGCAGAGCCAGGTGAATCTTTGTGAGTTCGAGGCCAGCCTGGTCTACAGAGCGAGATCCAGGAAAGGCACAAAGCTACACAGAGAAACCCTGTCTCGAAAAACCAAAAAAAAAAAAAAAAAAAAAAAAAAAAAATGGAAAGAGAGCCAACTCCACAAAGTTGTCCTCTGACTTACACACAGACACACACAGACACACACACACACTTACCCTGTCACATGTGACCCCCATCACAAACATGTGTTTGAGCCGCCACACAAAACAACAATAATAAACAAATCGTAGTAATTTAAAGGAAGAAAATGGCTGAGAGCTGTGTATTCATGTAACCTCAGCATTCAAGTTTGGCCAGGGCTATGTAGCAAGATCACGCATGCCCCTGCAAAAGGCTTCGAAGCTAGAAGTGCATACGTACTGAGACTGCCCATGCACACACACACAAGTATGTTAGCTTGACTACGTCTGAACAGCAGAAAGTCATTAGAGTTGTGCACCATGGGGCAAAGGTCAGTCCCTTGGCTCTCTGGGGACAGTCCCCAAAGTAGCATGCCCTCACCTCTGTGCCTGTAGAAGACTCAGTGGGAGAAAGTTGGATCTGGTGAACGGTGAGATGGGCGGGACAGTAGAAGCTAGTGCTGTGTGAAGTTTCTTCTTTCTCAGTAAACTTACGGGTGTGACATGAAAAAGTTAGGGGCCCTTCTGAAAATGCACAGCTCCGCCTTCACACCCCGTTCGGTCATTTCAGCTGTCTCACTGACATGTATGCCCATTCTTTAACAGCAGTATCTAGACACTCAAGCCTTCCCCACCTTTCAGAAGCCCTCCCAGCCCTCTGCCACCTGCAGGAAGCCTTCCCAGTCCGCCGGCTGCACACGGCAGCGGCACCATCTCTGCCTCTTTTGTTGTGACCCATGCTATGCTTTGCCTTGTATCTGTGTGATTTGTCTCCATTCCTTTCTGAACACAGACTCTGTGTCCTAAATATCTTTTCTCCCTATAACTACCAACACAGGCCCTTATAATAGCTCAGTATAAGAGTGGGTGGCCTGTGGTCAGGTGGCATTTTCTGTATTTTCAGAGTTGAGCAGAGAAGGAAGCTGTTCCGTTTCTGGGTGGGCCTTGTTGGCCAATGACGGAGGCAGAGGGATGTAAAGACAGTCACTGGACAACTGTTAATAACCTTGGTGCCTAAAGACAGTAGCAGAGGCCACCTGGGATTGTGTATGCACCCTCCTTACCTTTGTGGAGAGCCACAGGTCAGGGGAACCGGAGCCAACTACATCATGAGTTCACTGCATGGTAAAAACAAACAAACAAACAAACAAACAAACAAACAAACAAACCCAGAATCTAGTGGCTGGCGGTTTACTTCCATCAGGCACGCTGTAAAGAAGTCTGGGGCAGGAAGATCAGCACAGATTCAAAGCCAGCTGGACTGCCTGGACTGGCTAGTGCACTCAGCTCTAAAAACAGATAAATGATTGGACTCTAGTTGAATAGACAATTCACATATCACTCAAATGGCATTTCAAGGCTACGAATGCCAAGTGAGTCTAATGACTTCATGTTTCTTCATCTTGGGTGTGTAGGGTGGTCTCACGCCTCAGCAGGCAGCCTCACAGCTTCCCAAATTCATTAAGTACTCACTTGACCCCAAAGCAAGATTTTAGAATCACAAGATGTGCAATTGCTGTCCAACTTTCAAGGGGAGGGCTGTTTTAGCAAGCAAGAGTGAGGGTGGGGTGCCCCTAAAGGGGTCATGGAGAAAGCTTTATACAAGAATCCACCCTGCATTTCCTGAGGAGGAACAAAGGATTCAGGTCAGCAGAGAGGCATAGAGGAGACATCTTTGATATAGGGAAAGGGCATGGATAGAGAGGAGTAGAAACAGATGAAGCGAATCTCTCCATCCACTTAATAAATACACTGCATGTCTGTTCACACGCAAAGAAATCGGGGGGAGGGGGGGATGCTAGGACAGCAAAGAATAAGCATCTGTAGGAGAAGCACAGCTGGAGGAAGGTGACATTTAAATGGAGACCTGAAGCATGAGGCACCAAAGCAGGACAAACAGGAGGAGGAAGAGTCTGGGATGCCCTTTTCAGGCAACACATCTGAGCCCAAAGGTGGCCGGCATGTTGAGATGTTTTCTGGAGACGGATTAGCTCCAGGGTGTTTCTGGGTTGCACCGGCAGCTTCCCCAGAGAGAGGGGCAGGTAGGGCAGAGTCTCTCCATGACATCTGTGATTCATCTCTTGAACTTTGCCTCCCTTTGCAGCCCAGCGATGGTGCCGTTGAGGAAAACAAGCCACAGGATAATGAGAGGCTGAAGGTGGGTGTGTGGAGGTTACCCAGTGGAGACATTGCAGGGTCCCAGTTTGAGCAGGGTTATTGGTGGGTCTTGGTATGAGTGGGGGACACCTCAGGGTCTCAGCATATGTGTGCACATCAGGGTGCTGTAGTCTCAATGCTGTGGAACCTGGTCCACCCTGGGAGGCTTGGGAGATTCTGGGAGCTACCTCATAAAGGGGAGGGGAGCAGGCTGTGTGGTGAGGGCTTCTTAGCGTCGCATGGTGCTAGATTGGGAACTATCTCTTTAACATCACAGCTCACTCTGTCCCGAGTCTCCTGTATAACCTCAGGTTCTTTATCTATAAGATGCAGTTTGGACTAGAGAAACTCAAGTCATACTTTCCAGTCCCAGGATTGATTGATAAAAGTTTAATTACTAGTGGCTTTAGCATATTCAGAACTAAGGAACTAGGGGTCAGGGCCGAAGGTTTCTGAAAGAGTAGCCCAAGGCACCGCGTGGAAGGAGTTATGGGGAACTTTGATAGAAGACAGTGGGGGGGCGGGGCAGCTCTGAAACTTCCCCTACCCTATCCAAAGAAAATCTCCAAGTCCATCGTAATGGACACAGCCACTAGGTGGCGGAAGAGTTCAGCTGGAACGGGATGGGGAGGCCGAACAGAGTGTCTCCAGCGGTAATCTCCCAGTATTTCCTGGTGTCACTGTGAACAAGTGTGTGTCACACCTGTGTGCAGTACAGATGTGTGTACTTCGGTGCCTCTGAAGGTCTCTGAGCACCAGAGTGTAAAGTCAAAATGGGCTCGCGATCCGCAGACTGGGCTGCTGGTTTGACTCAATCCCTGCTCGGCCTTGGACGTACATCCCTTTGTGTTTTCTTCTTTCCTGTGGATGCGGCTCCCAGAGTTGCTGACCCCTGGGCATGGGGCAATGGAGAACACAGTCAGGCACGATGTGTGGACTGTAAAGGGCTGTGCCTGGCGCAGCAGCCTGCCCGTGTGCATGTGGATGAGGCGTGTTTCTAGAAAGGTTGCGTGCAGTGAGGTGCAAACCTTCCCCTAACATGGTACCCCTGATCCACATGACCTGTTCCCTGTGGAGGCTGTGGGGATTCGTGTAAGGTGCAGAAGGAGGAATCAAGAGGAGGATGAGAGGGATTTGGAGGTGAAGGAAGCAGGGGCGAGGGGCACCTTCTCTGGGGTCTCTGTGGGAAGGAGGCAGGTTGGTGAGGAGGCTCTCCTGCAGCTCCTTCCCTGCCTGACCGGGGCAGGGCCCCACTGAGGCCTGTGCGGCTCTCCCCTTGCTCAGCTCCCGTCCGTGCTGACCCGAGGGAGCAGCTCGGCCTCACTCCACAACAGCATCATCCGCAGCACCATCTACCACCTCATGCTCCACAGCCTGGACCCCCTGGGGGAAGGTAAGCAAGGCCTCCTTAGACTTGCTGGTCCGCCCCATGGGTGCCTCCCCTCCTGCTACTGGAGAGAATCTGGGACCTGCCAATGGTAGTGACAGTGGGCTGGGCTGGGCGGGACAGAGCTACCAGAAGAGGGGGGGGGGGAGGGGAGTGACAGCTAGACAGTATGGAAGACAGGGCAGAAGAATGACCTGGGCTCACCAAGACAGAGCCACAAGGAACATGGTTACTGGGGACCTCGAGTAATATTCCACTGTTTCCCTGCCTCGGAGTCTCTGTCTGTAAAGCGAAGGGCCTTATCCACAGCCAGGACTCAAATGCCATGTGGCCTATTTGGATCTGTGTTGGGTCAGATCCAATGTCTCACAGGTTAACTGGCCAGGGATGCTTCAGGGGACACCTCCTCCACAGCCCCGGGGGATTCCTCTTTGCTTTGTATTCGGCTCTGGAGTCCTAGGAAGCTTCCCCCCCCCCCCCCCCCCCCCCGGCCCCCTTCCAGCCAGGAGTCCTAAAGGATGCCCTGGGAGATGTCACTTCCAGGGAGCAGAGTGTAGTGTTTAAGGTGCTGAAGTTGAACTTGACAAATAATAGAAGCAGAGGAGAGTCCCCTTGTCCGCCTTACCAAGTCCCATCTTCCCTCTCACTACCCCACATAGGTCTTACACCCTGCTGCCTACCTCTCAGGAACTCTCATGTTTCCCTTTGATCCCCCTTTTCTGGGTCTCTGGTGCAGAACTGAGCCCAAGCAAGGAGGCCCACCAGGAAAAAGCTAGTTTTGGACAAAGCCAAGGCATGCAGTTAGGCAGGAGAGCCTGAATATGGCACAAAAGAATGAGCCCCAGTGAGACCCCTAACTGGCCTTTCTGGTTAAGGGACACATTTTAGGATCTCAGACTCTCATAAGGCCCCGACTTACCCCTTCAGACACAATACGGAAGTTATGTGTTTAAAAGTATGTTGTACTGGGAAAAACATTGTCAAGGACGAGGCAGCAAGCCTTGGCATTGTACATGAAGAAGCCACCCCACAGGAACAGCACCTCTGAGGGGTGAGAGGACTGGGCAGCCTCAGGTCTGAAGTCTGGGGTAGACCTGGCCTGGCTTTCAAAAGGACTCTAAGTCATGCCTACCCATTCCCAGCAGAACCACAGACTCTAGCCAAGCCCTGAAAACAAAGAACTTCTCCTGAATGGACTGCGGGGCTCCCAGACCCGGCCCCCTTTGTGAGCATCAGCTGCCAGCTGGCCTACTTGTCCTAACAGGATTATGGGGTGTTCAGGCCAGGCTGAGGTCACAGGAGATTGGCACTAAGGAGATGATCCAGCCATACTGGGTGGGGAGAGGGCACTCCAGGGGACAGTGACAGGGAGACCCGGTATATGGACCGTGGGTGTGGTAAACCAGGGGCCACCCTTCAGGTGAATAACTGCAGATGTGTTCTGGGGTGCAATCCTGCTCAGAGCTGGAGTCTGGGCATTTGCCAGCACCTCCACCCAGGAGGGGCTAGGTCCTCCCAGGCCTTATGTTCCCAAGCCATCCCAGATATCCATTTCCCTGGCAGTTTCCAGATGGCCATCCAGATGTTTCCACCCTTCCCAGATCCAGCTTTCTCCACAGGAGATGTTCCCTGTCCTCTGAACTCTCACTTCCCCAGGGTGATGTCTATCTCTCTCAGGTCCCATGCTTCTCTTGTGCTCCCAGTCAGATGGGTGTGTTCGAGAGCAGCAATGGAGAAGACATTCCACAGTGACCTGGGAAATGAGAGGCCGGGGCGAGTGATGAGGGTGGTGAGTTCCTCCAGCCAGCAGTCAGCTGATGTGCCAGGGCCAGGATGGGGATTCCAGGTCGCCCTCCTTTGATGGTAATTCTCTGTTAATCAGGGCACTATAGCTCTGGATTAGTGCCTAGAGATCGCTGGGCATTCTGGATCGAGGAGACAGGACTTGTTCTGAAGTCCTGCAGCTGGGTGCCAGGACACCTTGAGGACCAGAGGGGCCATAGCTGGGACTCTGCAAATGGCGCTGACTGCCAAGGCAGCAGCAGCTGAACGACCCTGGGGGTTTAGGGCACAGGTAGCAGGAGGAAATGCCAGGACTGGGTTTCCATTTGCTGCCTATCCTGGATGTGGGCAGAGGCTTCATTCCGTCCAGCTTCCCAGACTACTTGCTTAGCATCCTTGCACTCTGCCTGCACTCCCTCCCCATGAGATGATCTCTGGGGTCTCTCCACTCAAACCCTCTGGAATGCTGGGCATTTTCACCACATAACTGTTTCCTGGGTGGAAAGCTGCTGGCCACTATCAGTTCACCCCGTCATCCTTGTCACAGCCGAAAAGTAGCACAGTGACATCTAGGGGCTGTTTTAAATACAGTCGTGCAGAAATTCATCGACCATCTACAAGTACAACTCTGGAAGGCTTTACAGACGTGGGGTCTGAGGGATGGATAGGCTAAGAAGTCAGCCAGCCGGGCCATCACTATAGTGCCCCTGGTCACACCCAGGTCCTCAGGCTCCAGCGCGTGTTTCTGATGGTATGGGGGAAGCATTGCCTCAGTCAAGCACTCCTATCTCGTGGGTCCTCAAGTCGGTGTTCTGGGTGTGTCATGGTGCTGCCATGTGCGGAAGACACACAGGCTTCCCGGGTAACCTAATGTTCCTGGAGAGAGCTAGCCTGCATTCAGAACAGAAACCATGTGGCCATTACTTCATGGGCCCATTTGCACCATTGTCCTGCCTGCCTCTGCCCTCCCTGTGCCACACAGCTGACAGTGCAGGGTGGGCGGGGGAGGGGAGGGCACTTAAGCTCCTGCTTCTCGGTCCATCCCTTTTTCTTCTCTCCGTCAAAGTTACTCATGTGAAGTCCTTTGCAGGGCGCCTGGCACAGTCACGTAGGGAGAGAGGTGGCCTGCTTGTTCTTTTTCTTTCCTGGGAATCAGGGCAGCCACTCTGTGCCTGCCACTCGAGAGGTCTCCAGTAAAATCTCTCCCAGTAACACGTGACACCCACTTGGAATATCGGTGTCTGGGATCAAAAGGGTATGACCGAAGCTTGATCCCGTCCCCCTTCAGCAGGAAAGGGAAGGCTCCTGGGCAGCAGCCCCCTCGAGCAGCAGGCACACAGGACGCGCTGCCCTGTCTTCTAGTAGATTTGTCAAGAGTAAGCTGCAAGGGACCTTCCAGATCATCTCATCCAAGAGTGGCAAAAATGGCCTCTCTGCCGTCATTTCTCCGCTCCCTGCCCATCATGGACATCACTGACTGATCCTGGCAGGGGGTCTCCTACCAAGTTTGGGTCAGATGCCTCACATGAGCCATCCCTTGAGATCATGAAGGAAATGCATCCTGCAGGCTGGTCCCCAATCCAGTCACATGTTTATCAGGGAGGAGACAGGAGGAGCAACTCGCCCTAGGTCAGAGCCAGTCAGTGAGGGCGGGACTTAGACAACCTACAAATGGGACCCCAGGGGTAGGCCTCGAGAGCTCAGACACCGCACCGCAGGCCGAGGCCCGCCTTCCCTGCCCTCTCCCCGCCAGGCTGTGCAGGGTCCTGACTGGACACTGAGGTCCCAGATAAGATGTCTTCCTTTCTCCTTCGCAGCCCGCCCCTCCAAGGACAAGCAGGAGAGTTTGAATCAGGAGGCCAGAGCCCACCCCCAGACCAAAGCAGAGGGCAGTCCAGACGGTGAGAGGACGGCCAGAGAGGCCCCGGCTGGTTTTCTCCTGCCCCATTCCCTGTCACAGCCAGTGTAGAGCAGATGCACGTGCCAGTCAGCACTCGGGCACTTGGCACTCGGGCACTCGGGCTCTTCCCGCTGTGATGTTTTTCTGCCCCTGGCTCCCGGTTAGCTTCCTCCTTGCTGTCCTCAGATGGGGCAGGCAAGGGAAGGCCAGGGGAGTGCTCCACTCCCACATCTTATTTCTTAAACCTCACCCCAAGTGAGACGCGATTCCTTCTTGCTGTGACTTCTGCACAAGGACATTGTTGCTAGTGAGTGGTCTGAAATGAGCAGCACTACTGAGGGATGCACTGACAAAAGCCTAGCGTCTGTTGGCAGCTATGACCAAGGAAGTAGGTCAGGAATTGCCTCATGGGCTCCGCACACCAGGTTTACCTGGCTTACTCAGAGACCCACAGAGGGAGCCACGCAGCCACCATCCTTTCTGTTCCACAGCCAAGGAAACCAGGGTTCAGAGAGATCAAGCGAACTGCCCAAAGCCACACAGCCAAGAGGTTGTTAGCCTGTAGCTAACCCGAGCATTTCAGATTCTCCAAGGCCCCCTTCTCTGCAGTTCTGATCCATGGCCTCAGAGCAGCTTGCCTTTGAACTCAGTGGGATCCTTTTCAAAGGACCAGCCCTCCCTGCTCCATTTACCCAAATACTTCCAGCATCCCTGGCACAATTCCAGGAAATGCCTGTAAACACAGAGGGATGCTTCCCAGATGCCCGCTCATCCTTAGCGTTTTCAGGGGACAGAGTAAGCACCATTCCCAGTTCCCAGACAAGTCTCCTTAGCCCCTCACGCCAAACGCCGCCCCCCACCCCCCACCCCCGTAGTTTCTCCTGCCTGTCTCTGCAGCTGCTCCCAGAACCCGCTCTGCTCTCAACTCACCCGTTTGTCCTTTAAGAGGAGGAGCCAGCCGAGCTCCCTGCGGTCACGGTCACTCCAGCCCCTGCTCCAGACGCCAAGGGAGATCAGGAGGAGGAGGATCCAGGCTGCCAGGTAGGCGCCCAGCCTCTGCACAGCTGGAGGGATTTCAGAGGCCAAGGAAGGGCTTTCTGGCCAAAATGCTTCCTACTTGAAGGCCTGAAATCCCGTTTAGGTTTATCCCCGTGGGATGAACTATGCCCCTTCTCTGAAATCATTTGAAAAATGCTCACACTTTCCAGACCCAGAAAGCTCACGGCAACACCCCAGCATGAGATTATATATATGTATGACATTTTATATATATATATATATATATATATATATATATATATATATATATATGGATATGTATGCACAACCACATGCTGTAGGAACATAAGAAATTATTAGTGTGTCAGCAAACAACCAGAGACTGAGACCAGGCTGTCCCAGACCACCAGTGGCTTGAAGCGCAGTAAGAGAAGAGGACTTCTGGGTAAGAGGCTTTGGCTTGACCTGAGGCCCTTTGTTGCCGCTGTACCTGCCTCGTCCATACCCTGCTTTACCTCGAGAGCCTCTTCTTCCATTATTCTCAGACCAAGTGGAACTTGTCCCCACACTTTCCTACTATGGGTCTTGCTTATAGAGTTCCCTTTCCCTACAGTCCCCCTCCCTCCATCCCCAGATAGCCTTATCTGCCTTGGTATGGGTAGAAAGCTCCCTTGCCAGTGAGGTTTCCCGGATGCACCAGAATCCAAATGCCCGTGGGACTCTGTATCTGACACGTAGCTTCCACAACTGCCTTCTTGTTTTCTGAGCCTCCTCTAGTTCCCTGACCAGATGGTGAGGTTCCCGAGGACAGGACCCAAGTCTGAGCCATCTCTACCTCCACCTCAAGGGAAGCATCCTGCCTGGCACATGCCTCGATCAATACAGCTTGAGTGATTGGCAGGAAAAAGCTGTTTAGGTGCACGGACCAGCCCTGCTCTTCCTAATCAGCACCCAGAAGCACGCTTTTTGCTCCTCTACAGTCCAGCAATGTTGGGACTCGGTCTCTGAGGTGTCTCCCTTCTAGTATGCGAGCACCAAGCAGGCCCATTATGGCCAGCTCATGTGAAAAGGAACAAGAGGGTGGAGAGGAGTCTGGAGCTGAGCCTCATGAGGAGCTGGGGAGAGGCCCGAGAAGGTCTCCATTCGCTGCCCTCCCTCTCTGCTTCCCCTGTGCGCAGACGCTTTGACTGGCGTCAACCCTAAACTACCAGTCCAGTCCTAGTCCACAGGGACCAGCCAGTCACCAGTTCCTAGTCTGCGAATCTGTTCAACGTAAGGCACAGGTCAGGGATCTAGTGCCTAACCAGGCAACCATAGGAAAGATGGGGTGCCTTCACTGCAACACAGAGGGGAACTGCTGTTCACCTGGGCTGTTAGGCACCTCTCTCTCTCTCTCTCTCTCTCTCTCTCTCTCTCTCTCTCTCTCTCTCTTTTCTGTGCAGCCCTGGCTGTCCTGGAACTTGCTCCATAGACCAGGCTGGCCTCGAACTCAAAGACCCACTTGCCTCTGCCTCCCAAGTGCAGGGATTAAAGACAAGTGCCACCTAGCCTGGCCTAGGCATCCATTCTAGTAAGTTCCCCAAGGTAACAATTTTGGGAGCTAGGGAAGGTGGTACGGCTGGGTGGTCTCATACCTAATGACTTAAATGAACTGTCACCTCCAGGATTCCTGCTCCTGTGATGGGGCCAGAGGAGGGAGGCAGGAATTATTTTAGACAAATCTTCTTATTCTTCATTCCTAATTCAAAGCCCAGGCATCCCTGGATAGTAACTCTTTGCTTCTTCATCTTCTCCTCAACTCTGGTTGAATATTAGGATAAAATGGGAAAACTTTAAAATGTTGTTCTTTGCCTACCCATTGCGTCAACATCCCCAGGGCAGCTCCTCCAGCATCCTGGCTTAAGAAATTTCCAGTCAGGCCAGGCATGATGGAGCATGCATTTAATCCCAGCACTCAAGAGGCAAAGGCAAGCAGATCTCTGTGAGTTCGAGGCCACTCTGATTTTCATAGCGAGTTCCATGCCAGCCATGGCTGCACAGGGAGACCCTGTCTCAAAACACTGGGGAGAAAAAAGATGTTTCCAGGTTGAGAATCACTGAGTGTCCTTTGAGGGTTATTGTGACATTTGTTACAAGTGCCATGTTTACTCCTTAAGCACAGGGGTCTTTGCTCAAGGGAATAGACTACCATGTTACCCATTGGTTTCAGATCTAACTGGGGACCATCAGAACTAGTAGTTTCTAGTGTGGAGCTACATCAAAGCTCTGCAGATGAATACTCTAAAATAATGATCACGTGAACTGTGGATGATTGCTTTCATCTCAGAGCTTCTAAGTTAGCTGGTATAAGTTGACATAGGAAATCTGCATTTCTAATAAGATCCCCAAGATAATAATTTTGGAAGCCAGGGGCTCCTTTAGCCCTGGAATGTTAGTGGTCAAGAGGCCAAGAATTCAATACAGCTGTTCAAGTCCCAATACCATCACATACAAACTGTGGACTCTACTCATTTCCACACCAGTAGTCAGATGGGTACAAGTCTATACATTGATGGGTCCATGAAATCCAGCAACTGCTGTTATTATGAAGTCATTTACTATTGTACTTGGCCTGTGAGAATGTGCAACAAATAGGTATACTATCATCATCTTATACATTCGATATAAGAGTTCAGGAGTTTAGTGGACTTAGTAAGGTGTTCTGACGAAGCATATCAGGCCATGATAGGCAACATGGTAGGAAGCCTAGCACATAGAACAAGGGAGGAGATAGTCTTGTTCCAGTGTGCGTAGGCTCTGTGTTAAGTTTTGGATGCCCCACTCATGGTATGGCTAATTAGCACAAGTTCATCTAATCATGGCAGTCTCTATGCCGTAGCATGCCGGATGCTGGAGAACCTAGGAACCTTCAACTCATGAAGGGGCTGTCCTGTGGAAGAGTACTTAGGCTTGTTCCATGTCTCCAAAGAGTAAAACTGTGTGTGGTGGTGGGGCTTTGATACAAATATTGACTTACACCAGTCAATGCTGTTAAAGTGGCAGATGCCGCCGTAGGCGGTGAGTGCTCCAGCCTCGGAAAGGACCAAATCTAAGGGGGACGACTGCTGGGTAGGGCGTTGTGATGCCAAGTTTGCCGTGTCTTTGCACCAGTTTTCCCCTCTGAACGTTAACTCTTCAGATGCTCTCTGACAACGACAAAACAAACCCAGGGAGCAACGGGGGAACAAACCAGGCAGGGCTGTTACTGCACGGTAATCTGTTGTCTTTGGATTGCAGGAAGATGTGGGTGAGGCTGGACACACAGGAGACATGACACGTGAAGAGGGGGAAACTGAGGCAGAAGGCAAAGAAGATGAAGAAGGGGAAACTGAGGCAGAAGGAAAAGAAGATGAAGGGGAAACTGAGGCAGAAGGAAAAGTTGTTGACCTTGAAGGGGAAACTGAGGCAGAAGGAAACGAAGATGAGCAAGAAGGGGAAACTGAGGCAGAAGGAAAAGATGAGCAAGAAGGGGAAACCGAGGCAGAAGGAAACGAAGATGAGCAAGAAGGGGAAACTGAGGCAGAAGGAAAAGATGAGCAAGAAGGGGAAACCGAGGCAGAAGGAAAAATTGTTGAACTTGAAGGAGAAACTGAGGCAGAAGGAAAAGTTGTTGAACTTGAAGGAGAAACTGAGGCAGAAGGAAAAGAAGATGAGCAAGAAGGGGAAACTGAGGCAGAAGGAAAAGAAGATGAGCACGAAGGGGAAACTGAGGCAGAAGAAAAAATTGTTGAACTTGAAGGAGAAACTGAGGCAGAAGGAAAAGTTGTTGAACTTGAAGGAGAAACTGAGGCAGAAGGAAAAGAAGAAGAGCAAGAAGGGGAAACTGAGGCAGAAGGAAAAGAAGATGAACACGAAGGGGAAGGTGGAATCCGAGCTGACGACGCTGAGGTAAAAGCCGGTGAAGGTGAGACAGAAGCGGATGTTGAAAATCAGTGTGAGACCACCCAGGGTGAGAAAGGTGCGGATGGTGAAGGGGGGAGCGATGGAGGGGACAGTGGAGAAGAGGAAGATGACGAAGAGGAGGAAGAAGAGGAAGAGGAGGAGGAAAGCGAGGAGCCTCTGTCCTTGGAATGGCCTGAGAGCAGGCAGAAGCAAGCCATTTACCTCTTCCTCCTGCCCATTGTCTTCCCACTGTGGCTGACAGTGCCCGATGTACGGAGGCAGGTGAGAGGACCCAGCTGTGCCTCAGGCTGCCCATCCTGAGAGAGGGCAGCAGGCCTTTAGGGACTGGGAAGAAGGCTGGGAACCCTAGCAGACTTCCCCCGTGAGGATGTGGGGAGGGGCTGTAGCTCTGCAGGGGACCATGTGTCCGGGGACCTCAGGAGCCAGAGACCTCAGGAGGGCCTTATGTGTGCCGCCATGAGCAGTGTGAACCAGTCCATCCTTGATTACAGTCTCAGCATTCTGGTCTTAGTTTGGGGACCACAGCCTTGTACCCATCCACAGTTCACAGAGATATTCTGAAAACCCAGGCTGGGAACTGCCATTTCTCCACACTCGTTCTCTCTGTAGGGAAAAGTCTAATACACTTCACCTGAAGTCCAGAGAGCAGTCCAGTCCAGAGGGCTGGGGGAAGGCGCAAAAGCCAAACTCAAGCACTTAGCTGGGTCTGATTCTAGAGCAAGCCCACAGCTCTCTCGAGCCTGGCTCTGCTGAGTGCCTGCTAGACAGGCCAGGCTCCCCCACATCTCCTTACCCACTGGCTCCAGGGGCTCCCTGGGGAAAGGGCCACAGCTTCATGCAGACCGCTCCTGATCTTCCTCATTATTACCCATCCACTAGGCCTCATCACATTTTGGAGTTCCCTCGGAGAGGGGGCCAAAGACCAATAGCTTCTGCAACTTATTTCTCGTCCCTTTCTATCTCCAACAGGAGTCCAGGAAGTTTTTCGTCATCACCTTCCTGGGATCCATCATCTGGATAGCCATGTTCTCATACCTCATGGTTTGGTGGGCTCACCAGGTGAGTGGACGGTAGCCCTGTCTTCCAGCAGCAGATCCTAGCGTTTGCCACTAAAGATGCCATTTCCAGTGTTCAGACTACCAAGATCCAGTGCACCTGTGGTTTCCGTGCTGTTTGTAAAGGCCTTCAGAGTAGCCATTTATTCCATCAATCATTTTCCAAGTGTGGCTTTCCGATCTTAACTTGTATTCAGCTGTTTCATGGCACAGGAAGCCCTTCACATCCAGATTCCAGTGGACCAGGCTCTCCTGACCCCTCAAAACTGGTGAAATCCCTTCCCTCACTGAGCTGACTCAGTTGGGTCTGCTCGCTGGCATTGTACCAGTGTCTACCTGAGCACCATGGGATTTTGTGTTCTGTCCGGAACAGCACTTATCACAGAGTCCTGACTGGAAGCTTTTCTCTAGGCTAAACGCACAGGCAGTCCCGCCCAAACTTCTGTCTGCCGCCTGCCTGAGCTCCCAGGACACTGCACAGGTCACATGTCCAGAAAATCAATGCTGACAGAGCAGACTATTGGAGGGGCAGTTCTCTGGGGCAGGCCGAGTTGTCACAGTTGGAATGACAGTGAAGGACAGACCTGGTATCATTAGAATTTTAGTATGGTCAGCGTAAGCTGTGTGGTTCCCTGGAGCCTGGAGCTGGGGCCTGGCTTTCTTCCCGGCCCCATCCGCATTCCTCTCTTGCAGAGGGCATGTGCTGACCTTAGTGCTTATCCTGTCAAGTAGTGTCCACTGGTGCTGAGAACTCTCAGATTTTCCACCTGGTGTTGCCATGGTTCCTTGTGGGAGCCCGTTCTTGGGTTCCTCGTGGCTTTACCCAGCAGGTCCACATAGAGGATGATCAGGACCACGGGCCTGAGTGCAGGTGTCTGAGATGGTCTGCACTTGGCTGTGCTGGGGGAGGAGGTCTTTTGCTCCACCCCTTGGCGTCTCTATAAAAACCCTGGGGCAGAGACAGTCGGGGCCCATTGGAAAAGGTTCCAGGCCCTCTCGAGGCTATCCTTTATTTTCTATCTGTTTATCTCCGCAAGATTCTCTGCAATAAATCCTTCTATCTAATATTTCCTGCTGCTCGCACTCAAGAAAACTCTGGGGAACTGCCCCACAGTTCCTCATCACTGTTGCTGTTTTACCAGGTTGGTGAAACCATTGGGATTTCGGAAGAGATTATGGGTTTGACCATCCTAGCGGCAGGCACTTCAATTCCTGACCTCATCACCAGTGTGATCGTTGCCCGGAAAGGCCTGGGAGACATGGCTGTGTCAAGCTCAGTGGGCAGTAACATATTTGATATCACGGTGGGGTGAGTGGCAATATTCCTTCCTAAGGCATATTCAGAATAACTGGAGACTGCATTGGCTCAGTTGGCTGGTTTTCTTCTTCATTCATTAGGGACGCAACAAAAGGGCATTTGTATGGTTTGTCCTTATGAGGCCACGAAACATCCTCCCTTCATTCACCATAGCCTGAAATGTAACTGACTGGAACTTATGGGTGAACTGAGAAGTGAGGTCCATTCATCTCATTTCCCAATACAGTAAAATACTGCCCTTCAAGGAGGTAGAGAAAGAAGGGCTGGAAAGAGCTGTTCTAATTCTTCTTTGTATGTGGGCTTCTGCTAGCTCAGAGGCTTTACATAGCCTTTTGTATAAACAAGAACTACCCACCCTCCTGTTTAATGCCCCCTCCTGGTCCTAGTCTCCCAGGGTTGTCAGAGTACATGGCCACTTTCGTTTCCCTGGTCATGTCTTGGATTTGGTTATTTTGATTGGAATTTGTGTATGTGGATGTTAGTGGGGGCAGTGGGTGGTGTGGGCATCAGAACAATCTAATCGCTAAAGAAAATTTATTCTGAGGTAGTTCTTAATCATAAACATTGAGAAATTCATCACACATTGACTATGGTTAGTCCTATATACGTCACTAAACCTTCAGGGGTGGGGGTGGCATGGGACTCAGACCCAGGACACTTTTTCATTGTTTTTTTGAGATGGGATCTTACTTGCCCAGGCTAGACTCAAACTGAGGATCCTTTTGCCTTAGTGCTAACATGCCCAGCTCCGAGTACTTGTTTTAACCTAGCTTCTCCTCAATAAGCCTTGAACCCTTTGCCAAGTAATTTTGCTTCCCTAACCTGTGCTTCCTCATCAGTGAACTGAGGTTAATAATTTCTGCTTCACTTCATCTTGTATGTGTGAGAAATAAGAACTCTGAAAATGGGCTCGAGAGATGGCTCAGGGGTTAAGAGTGCTGACTCTTCTTCCAGAGGACCTGAGTTCAGTTCCCAGCACCCATATGGCAGCTGACACCTATCTGAAACTCCAGTTTCAGGGGACCCTAACACCCATGGCAAAAACACAAATGCACATAAAAAAATATTTAAAAAAAGAACTCTGAAAACATTGAAACACTAACCAAGCACCTGGGGCTTCACATTTTTCTTTTGCAGCTTGCCTGTTCCCTGGCTCCTCTTCTCTCTCATCAACACACTGCAGCCTGTTCCAGTCAGCAGCAATGGCCTGTTCTGTGCAATTGTCTTGCTGTTTCTCATGCTCCTGTTTGTGATCTTCTCAATTGCATCGTGTAAATGGAGAATGAACAAGATCCTGGGCTTCACAATGTTCCTTCTTTACTTTGTATTCTTGGTAATCAGTGTGATGTTAGAAGATCGAATCATATCCTGTCCTGTATCTGTCTGACTCAGTCACTGATGCTCAAGATGGACATAGACCAGAAGACCATGCCAGAAGCTACTGTCCCTCTTGCCACACCAAAGGATGGACATGACCAGGAACGTGAACTGGACAGCCTAGACTCTCTGAAGTGACTGTCATCGTGACTGAGGCTTCTCTTTGTAAACACCTGCAGCTCCTGGTGGACCAGTATTACATTGAAAGGGAGAGTTCCTATCACTGGGGCCTGCAGCTCTCACAAAATCAGCAGGGTGGGCTTTCCAAATGAGACCTGGGTTAAGACTGGGATGGCAGAAATACAACAAGCACCCTTGCTCATAGTTCCCTGGTCACTCTGGAAGAGCCTCTGGCCGAGGGATGTAGGTGTCGGAGGCTTGCTCTCCTGGTCACAGCCCCAAACACACACTGCCATGTGCTGTTCCTCTTGGTGCAAATGTGAAGTCACATCAGGTCTGCAGTCATTATGAGTTTAGCTAATGTGTTTAAGGGCTAAGACTACGGAGGGGCAGGAATAAATTTATCACCCTATTGTCCTGTAAGATGCACACCAATGTTTTCTATGTTAAAAGGAAGACATCAGCGTTTATTGCTGTATTTCTGAAAAATGAAATTAAAACAGTAAATAGCCTAAGAAATGAAGTGTATAACTTGCCTTGATCTGGAGGCAGAGATTTGAGGAGGAAACCTACTCTTAGGGCTATTTAAAATAGGTCTTACTGGAAAGTCCACGTTTGCTTTGTCTCCATCAGTGGTCTCTTCAAAGGATTAGACATTCTGACACAGCTTCCCTGCATTTTCTTGCCCTGGAGTGACAACCGTCACTAAAGGGATGTATTTGCAGAGAGCACAATCTGGCTTATAAGAGATCTAGGGCTCAGTGCTGTGCTTGAATGCCAACCTAGACAGGACTGCAGAGCAAGACTAGTCCTGTGTAGAGTTTATCAGTGGATCTTGAGACAATTTACAAAGGAAAAAAATTCAAAACTGCTTAGCACAATGATGTATATAGTGAGAAGGAAAAGGGTACCTCTTGCAATGCAGACCAGGCCGGCCTTGAACTCGCAGGTTCCACTTGCCCCTGCCTCCTGAGTGCTGGGATTAAAAGCATGGCCACTACACCTGGCTGAGTATCTATTTTTAAGGTCACAAAGGACACTAAAAAAAGTTAAGGTTAAATATTTTCTATGAAATTTCTTATTAAATACCATTGGTTGCTGCTTTTATTAGCACCAAGCTGAGGAGAATGTTAGAAATAAAATCTTATTATTGGGTTCAGATTACAAGGAGCTTAAGCGTCTCCAGATTATGATGGCAGATTCAGCTTAAGTCATAAGCATCGGAATGACGTGGTAACATGTAAGAAGATGGCAGGACAGCTATGAAGTAAAACAGTCATTCTGGTGTTGGAGGGTGGAGGTATTCAAGTATTCATCTTTTAAGATGGGCTGTACTTTTCCAAGATTCCCATTTTTTGGAAATAACTTTTATTAAATTTCAATGAAAACTGTGGATCCACTTGTATTTTATTTTACAAACATGGATGGACTCACCCCATCTTTAGGTCAACAGGTCAGAGCTCAACGAGAAGACTGGTAAAGACTACATGTTCAAATTTCTCTCTGTGCATGTGTGCGTGCGTGCGTGCTTTGTGTGTGTGTGTGTGTGAATGTGCTCGTACATGCACATGCATGTAAACATGGAGGCTGACACTGGGTGTCTTTCTCACACTTTCTACCCTTTTTTGAGATGGACCCTCTCACTGAGCCTGGAACTCACTGACTAGGCTAGACAGGCTCCTTGTTTCCCTTCATCCGCAGACCGGGATTACAGGCGCCTTTTATGTGGGTGGTGGGGGTCCAACTCAAGTCCTTCCGCTTGCTGTATGAACAGTCCACCTGCCGAGCCAACTCTTCCCCTGTCCCTCAAGTTTCCTACTCTTAACTATCCTCCTTCCTGGCGCAACTTTTCTGTGTGGCCTCCACAGGCCATGGCTGAACAGGAAAGAACAATTCTGTGGAAAGGAAGGCTAATGCCAACATTCTGGGTGCCAATCCGTTGTCAGCAGCCAGCTCCACCTTGCCTCAAAGATGTCACCTTGCCAACAGCCAAAGGTCTGATGCTCATCAGGCAGAGTGGTGGACAGTGAGAAATTCCACAATTATAAAACTATTTAATAATTAAAACCAGAATGATCTTATATCCTTTCCCCAAGCAGCTGAATTTCTGGCATTTTCCTTTGCCCACAAAGGAAGTTCCAAGTACTTCCTATTGTGACAGGAAAGGACAAGTACAAAGAGAAAAGCTGGGTCTCTGGCAGATGAGTGGGGGTTCACTGGGGAAGCAACTACTTCAGAGGCACAGAGAACAGAACTTGAATTAATGTTTTTACTAACATATATGTGCCCTTGTGTGTGTGTGTGTGTGTGTGTGTGCTACACACGTGCAAAAGTCAGAAGAGGGGTCAGATCCTTTGCAGCTGGAGTTATAGGCAGTTGTGAGCCTTCTGATGTGGGTGCTGGGAACTGAATTTGAGTCCTCTAGAAAAGCAGCAAGTGCTCTTAACCACTGAACTATCTCTCCAGCCTCGAAAAATTGAAGTTCTTTTTTCTCTTTTTCTCCTCCAAGATACATTTTTAAATCCTGGAGATTAAACCTAGGGCACCTGTCATGCTAGGCCAGTGGTTCTCAACCTTCCTGATGCTGCAACCTTTTAACCCTTTCCTCATGGTGTGGTGACCCCCCAACTATGAAATTATTTTTGTTGCTACTTCATAACTGTAATTTTGCTACTGTTATGAATCATAATGTAAATACCTGTGTTTTCTGATGGTCTTAGGCAACCCCTGTGAAAGGGTCATTCAACCCCCAAAGGGGTCTTGACCCACAGTCTGAGAACCACTGTGCTAGGCAAAGGCAGCACCACTGGGTTGTATCTTTTAGGATGTTGTATGTGTGCATACATGAGTGCTAAGGTGTGTGTGTGTGTGTGTGTGTGTGTGTGTGTGTGTGTTCACACACATGCATGCACCTGTAGAAGTCAGAAGAGGGTGCTGAAACTCCTGGAGCTGAAGTGGGTGCCACCTGATGTGGACACTGGGGTCTGAATTCAGGCCCTCCAGAAGAGCAGTAAGCACTCTTAACTGCTGAGCCACCTCTCATGCTCCAATCTGCATAACTTCTAAAAGAATCAATTAAATTTGTGTTATATATTTATAAACCCACCATAACTTAATAAAAGCATGCCTTTTTAAAAGGGGTAAACCAGTATGCTAACACGCCAAGACAATGTTGAGATGGCCCTTCCATTTGATAGCAAATGGTTTGTAGAATTGCCTGAAGCAAATTCGACTTCATTCTTTGAGCCTGGAAGTCTGAGCGGTGGTGGGGTGGGGGGTGGGGGTTGGGTGAGGGGGGAGTGCACTGGCAACAATGCCTGCAGCTGTCCTCTCCCTCCCCTGCAGCTGTACATCCCGGATGTCCACCCAAGCAATAGGAAGCACTTCCTGACTAACTGGGTTCAACTTTTATATAATAAATGGGAATGGATCTACCTGAAATTTTTGGGAATTGCTGTTTTAAAACAGCTACTGTATGTATTTTTTTTTTTTTTTTTTTTTTTTTTTTTTTTTTTTTTTTTTGGTTTTTTCGAGACAGGGTTTCTCTGTGTAGCTTTGCGCCTTTCCTGGAACTCACTTGGTAGCCCAGGCTGGCCTCGAACTCAAAGAGATCCGCCTGGCTCTGCCTCCCGAGTGCTGGGATTAAAGGCGTGCGCCGCCACCACCGCCCGGCATATTTTGAACATTTTATTGCACTGTCACTAATAGATACGAGAATGGTTTTTAACTGTTTTTTTTTAAAACAACACTGTCTATATCAGAATTTTCATTTAACAACTGAGTTCTGTGAGGGCAGGAACTGAAATTTATATTGAAAGTACAGTTTGGTAGGTAAATGGAAATAATTAGTTGCCCTTATCTGCAGGTACAGTTTGTAAGTATTCTGGGACTGGTCCTGATGAAGAAAAAGGGCTCTCTGAGCAAGCCCGCCCATCCCCAGGGGGTCAGTAGGGCCTGGCAGTGTGGTGATATTTTGTTGTACTCTAATAAAGCTTTCCTGAAGGTCAGAGGACAGAGCTAGCCACAGAGTTAGCCATAGTGGTCAGGCAGTGGTGGCACACACCTTTAATCCTAGCACTCAGGAGGCAGAGATCCATCTGGATTTCTGTGAGTTCAAGGTCATGCTGGGCTACATGAGATTAATCCAATCTAAAAGGGAACCTTTAATTCCAGCACTTGGGATCACTCACCTTCAATCCCAGCACTAGGAAAGTTGAGACAGGAAGTGATATGGCTGGGCAGAGAAAGGAATATAAGGCGGGAGGAGACAGGAACTCACACTCTTTCAGGCTGAGGAGCTGGTGAGGTAAGAGGTGGTGGCTGTGGCTTGCTCTGCTTCTGAAATCTTTGAGCTTTCACCCTGACTTCTGGCTCCAAGTCTTTAAAATAAGACCAATTAGGATTCATGCAACACGGCAGGATAGCCATGCCCAAGTCAGCCTGCAGAGCCAAAGGTATACTTCTGGTCTTCAGGTCCTTCACTGTAACTAGTCAGTAAAACCTGAAAATGTTCTTGTATAGACTAGCCCACCAGTTGCTACATTAAAAGAAAATCATTTGGAAATAACTCTTTATATAAAGAGGAACAGCAACTACAGAAAGACAGCAGGAACTGTTTCAGTAGAGTCTGCCTCAGAGTGTGAGTGTGTGCACAGACGATTCACACAATTCCTACACAGATGAATGCCCTGCTTCTCTTGTAAACACGGTTAGCCAGTGATGGGGCTTTCCCTGGGGCTAGCAAAGTCAGGTAGTATGGGGAGCGGGTGATAAGACTCCAAGTCCTAAGGATGCTGATGTCCCTGAAGGCAGGTCACATAGGGCTTTGTGCTGAATCTAAACAGGATGAGCACCCCAGCCACAGCACCAGGCCAAGGCCTCTCAAAGGCCACTCGCTCTTTCTCTTCTTTCTCTGACATGAAGTGCCGAAAAGCAGCCTTTAAATTATGGCGGAAGAAATAAAATAATGCTCAACTACTGCCCATTTGAAAAAAAAAGTATTTTCTTTCCATAAGTTATTTAAAATACAATGCAAGTTATATATAGGATTAGCTAACACTTGTTAGTTGCACCAATAAATAGTAATTATCAACATGAAGTAAAAATAAGTATTTATTGCCTAAAATGCTGAACCAACATTTTCAGGGTCATTTCTCTATATACAAAATGAGAAGACATACTAGAGAACCTTATTATAGATAAGGTGATAGTTTCGGGGGTTTAAAGGTTATAAAAAAGTTAAGAAAAAAGACAAAATCAGAAGGTGAATAGCTATGTACTGTGACATCGGGCAACAGGAGGAAAATGCTGAATATTTAAAGTAGTATATACATATACAGAATAACATTCAAACCTAGTAAGAGTCTTAAACTATACTAGCATGAGCATGGTGTATTTCCAACAATTTAAACATAAGCAAAACTAAGAATGAGAAATAAGAACTTAGATAGTGGAGGAAAAGGACATTGCTCTCCAACACTACTGGCCACAATTTTCCAAGATGTGTGTTCAATAAAAACCCGAAAAACAGCTTGTATTAAATTGTTTCAAAAGATGATCCTTACTCTAGTTTTCTTTGGAGCAAGGCTGACTGAGTTCTATTCCATGTTTTAGATATTATTTTTAAAAATTGTCTTCATACAATAATACTTCCTGGAGATTAAAAGCAGGAGAAACACAACTTTATTCAGAGACAGAAAACGAACTCAGGGTAGGGTTGGGAGACAGAAAGCGTGCTCAGCCTTCTGAGTGAGTAGGAAGAGCCGCTTTGTCTCTGTCAAACTCACTTCCTACACAGCTTGCACTACGGAAACCGGAGGGAACAGGGCGAGCTGCTCTCACAAGGGAAGGAAAAGAAAACAGACGAGAACCCAAATCCTGTGTGAGGGGATGTTTACCACCAGCGCCAACAGCCTCCTCTCTCGGGTGTCCTTCTCAGCTTCCCATGACTTGGGGAATGTGGAACAGGACAGCAGAGTGAGGCTGGGTGGATCCGACAGGAGCTCAGGTACACGTGCATAGCACCAGTGTTTTCAAGTAAGTAAGTTCAGCCTCGAACCAACTGAACTCAAGATTCACATTTTATGCTCTCTCCACAACTTGCCAGAAGGCAAAAGCCGTGAAACACTTCAGCCTGGCTACTCAGTGGTGGCAGGAACTGAAAGGCAGCTTTTCTGTGGCTAAACTGCTGAGCCTCAGGGGTCTAAGATATTTCCAGGTCAAGCATCATGTCTGTTGGCTTTAAACACCAAGTTTGGGACCACCCTTTCCTCTCCTTTGTAAAATGGCTAGCCCTCTTTTATCAATGATAACCTTTGCAAATGTACATACATACACTGAAAAGACATGAACAATTTTAAAGGACAAAGGATGCTTTTTCCTTATGAGAAATTATTCACAGAAAGCGATCTTAGAAATAATATAACTAAAAATACATTTTAAAAGTCAATTTAATACTCATGGTGTTTGAATATTGAATTTATTGTCTGATTATGTATAGTTCTACATTTTAGATTCCATGAACTTCAGATTCTGAAGCTTGTTGAAAAAGCTAAGTTCCTCAATATGGGAAATTCTCTCTGGCTGTACTTTTAGACGGTTACTATTTTTCTGCTTTCAAAAAATACTTTGAATCTCTCTCTATACATATTATTAACAGAATACCCCATTAAAACATATTTCACATACATATTTTATAGTACAATTTGCTTTATACCCAATATTTTGGGTGAAATTTGGAAGAATCCGATGTCAATCGTATTTTCCCTATGTAAGTTTCCATATAGAATATTAACATTTAAGTTGATATTTGGATTGTGAGCTACTTTCCCTGGGTACTGTTCGCATCTACTCACACTGGAGGAGACTGGACCATGGCATAGGCACCCTGTCTGACTCCCTGCACAGCGCTCATGCCCTGCCTTCCATCACTCCCTCTCAGTGGTCAGACTTGGGGTGCTAGCAGGCAATCCGAGGAGGACGCTGACACCAGCACTGACGTGCTAAAATTCATTCTCTCAAGTAATAAAAAAAATATAGGTAGATATACATATAGAGATCTGCAGCTGTGCTAATTACTTCAAAGAGCAGAGACAAAGAAAATAAACACTTGTTTCATAAGTTTAAATTCATTTTAAGTTTGCTATATTAAATTTAAAAATTAAAAAAATATCAACTTACTATAAACAATTTAAAATATGTATAATACAACTTCATGGTCAAAACATTTGAATAGTCCATGAAAACAGGAGATACTTTGATCTCACATTTCTGTTTAGGTTCCATACATGATTTTCCTACCTGTCTCTTTTAAGAGACACCATAACACAGTTGTCTAATCTGTGGCAATCAAGTTTTTTTTTTTTTTTTTTCGTTTTTCGAGACAGGGTTTCTCTGTGTAGCTTTGCGCCTTTCCTGGGACTCGCTTGGTAGCCCAGGCTGGCCTCGAACTCACAGAGATCCACCTGGCTCTGCCTCCCGAGTGCTGGGATTAAAGGCGTGCGCCACCACCGCCCGGCCGACAATCAAGTTTTTAAAGAGACTTCCTCATCACAAAGTACTTACTTACTCTACAGGGAGCTAACAAAGGAAGAAACGGGAAATAAGTGGCTCTCTCCCTATCTGTCACTGTCCTCTTACGGAAGCATTCTGTACACAAGTGACCTAAACCTTCCCATCCATTTACAAATGCCTTTTCAAAAAGTGAAGTTTAGAGTCTAAAAGTGTTCCTTTGTATACTGACTATACAATATATATTGAATGTATATACACACACACACACATACACACACACACATCTTAAAGGTAAGGTTCTCCAAAGGTTTTCCGGCATTCCATCACCCCAGTACTTGGTGGCCTGTCACAGTTATGTGTGCTCTTGACTTGACTAGGTGTGAGACGATCATATGCCATCTTGTACTCTTTGTCAAACGCATCTGCAAAATGTCATTAAGAAATAAAAGAAGAAATTAATGGCTGATATTGACCACAATCAAGTTGCTATGATATAACAACAAAAAACAAAAAACTATGGGGACAAAGAATATGTTTTGAGCTTAAAGAAGCCTTAGAGTACAACACATTTCAGAGGTAGTAGTACAGACCAAACATCTGTGCTAAAAACCACTGAATACCATGCACACATTTTTGTAATTTGCTTTTCATGCTCAATTAATCAGCAAGAATAAGTAATGGAGCAAAGCCCCTGTTACAGTCCAGCCATCAAGGCACTGCAGAAGCTGAGGCGGGAAGACCGTCAGCTCAAGGCCTGCCTGGGCTACAGAACAAGATCAAGAAGAACCTGACTCCAAACAAAGCACCAAGTGCTGGGACTACTCCTCCATGGTGGCACGCTTGCCTTGCCTTGCATGCCTGAAGCTCTAGGTTCAATTTCTAGCACTGAGAAAAAGAAAAAAATCATAGTAATTTCCCCTAACAAAACAAGATTAAGAAAAAAAATGGATCACTAAATTTTTACCTTTATGATATAATTTTTTTTTACAGTTAAATTTTCCTGCTGGGCAGTGGTGGTGCATGTCTTTACTCCCAGCACTTGGGAGGCAGAGGCAGGCAGATGTTAACCAGATATTTTCCACTGTACCATTTCAATGTCTTTATTGTTTCTTTTACTAGTTTTGATTCCTGCCAATCTCTGTGCAATCATTTTCCCAATTAAATGTGAAAATCATTTGTCAAATTTCTTATTTTTAAGCCTCCAGTGACTGTGTTTGTGTACATGTGTGCAGGTCATCATGGGGGGCAGAAGGCGGCACTGGATCCCCTGGAGCTGGAGTTACAGGAAGTTGTAAGTTGCTTGACATGGGTGCTGGGAACTGAACTCTAATTCTCTGGGAGGGCAGCAAGTGCTCTTCACTGTGAGCCATCTCAGCAGCCTCTGACTGCATTTATTTGGATCATATTTTTAAAAGCTTATTATTGTTGTTATTATTGTGTGTGTATATGCACAAGTGTGTGTGCTATGATGTGCACATGTAGATGTCAGGAGATATCTTTTGGGAGTCCATCCTCTCCTTCTAACTGTGGGATCCAGGAATTAAACTCAGGTCATCACGCTTGACATGGCAAGTGCTTTTACCTACCGAGGATCATGCCAGCTATTACATTTCCTTTTTAAACAAAGATTCTAAACATTGATCTCTATGTGACTTCAATTCCTATCTAAATAGTTTTAAATTTTATTTATTTATTTGTGTGTGTGTGCATGTACACACGTGTGTTATGGTGTGTGTACATAGGCTACAGAACAGCTTGCAGGACTTGGCTCTCTCCTTCTATCGTGTGTTTTCCAGAGCTCAAACTCAGGTCATCTGGTAAATTTAATGTCCATAGTGATATTACACAACACTGAAAGCCTGAGACTGAGGTTAAGTTGCTTAGCCTCCCAGATCCTTAATAGCTTAGGTAATATACAGCTGTATACAACTGGTAATAGGACCACTCTCATAGGAACTCGTAAAGAATTAGATAGTGCTTGGAGAAACTCACTACAATGTGAGGCCCAAGAGATAGTAGCTTATTATTTGCATCATTATACAATCCATGACTAAAGTATCTTTTACATTAGCTAAAAACCAACCAACCAACCAAACGAACAAACAGAAACAACGGTGGGGATGGAGAGATGGCTCAGCACTTAAGAGTGCCTACTGCTCTTGCAGAGGACCTGAACTCAGTTCCCAGCATCCAGTTGGGTGGCTCACAACAGCCTGTAACTCCAGGTTTAGGGGATCTATTCTTTCTGGACCCCAGAGGCACTTGCACTCAAATGCACAAACCTACATACAGATAAACACATACACATCATTTAAAAATAATACATCTTAAAGAGATGCTAAAAATAAAAGAACTATTTTTCTAGTAAGTCAATACAATGAGATAATAATTAAGACCACTAATGAAAACCCTTTAAAAACTATAGTATGCTGTACAACTATATTACCTATATCAATGTTTTCTCTTCCCAGTGCCACCAGTGAGAGAAATAGTATTTCTCTATATAACTCCTGTGGACCAAAAGACATGGGAAAAACGTTAGACTCCTCAGAGCGTCTATGTTCTCTTTCATGCTATGTAAGCATAAGCATGATGGAGCAAACAGGACACATCTGGTTAGAGAAATAACCCATTCACCTGAGGGAAAGACTTACCGCTGTCTTTTAAAATGTGGACACTTATTCAGTGTTTCTAAAATCTGACTCATGGGCCCATAGACATCATTCATTTTAATGCTTTTCACCATACTTTTCAACAGTTCCTGGTTAAATGAGTTATCATTTTTTTGTAATAAATGAACCATTGGATACTTTTGAGCTGTAAAAGAACAAAAGAGCAGGTGAAGGAAATGTTTTTTGTAGAAGGGAGAAATAAATTAAAGAGCAACTAACAAGTGTTAAAGACGTTACAAGGCATTAAAAAACAAATGAAGGACAATAAGAAGAGAAGTTTAAAAATAAAAGAATGAAATAGGAAAGTAAGACAAGTAGTGATAAAAATGGGCCTGAGGAATTCTGTGGCCTCAAACAGACAACTAAAAGTAGTTTTCCTTACTACAGCCCCTGAGGGAAAGTCTGCATCAACAGCCAGGGACGGAAACCAAAAATAAGTAAAATAAGAAGTTGGGACAAACAATGTTCTTCAAGTCAAACTGTACAAAACACAAGCAAGCCCTTCACCACATACAGAGCAGCCCTCCCAAACAGAACCAAGAGCTCAGCTCCTCCCCAGAAGGCAGCACTAATACACCAGTTAACACTCACTCTCAAACAGCAGAGTGCGGTTCTGACCTGGAAGACAAAAAGCACAGTGATGGAGAAGTCAATTAGACACACTGAGGCCTTTTCAAGGAAGAGGAGATGACTCTCCTCAAGTGAGCATTCTATGATGTCACTTACTGTGGGCATTCCAGAGGATGTACAGGGGTTGCCCTGGATCCTGATGTAATTTCATGTTGTCCCATAACATCTGTATTAAAACATATTTGCTGTCTTCAGACATACAATGGCGAGGAATCTGTGTTGTAAAATAAAATTTATTATTGATCTTTACATAATTTTGTAAATATTTTATAAAACCTGTCTTAGGGTTTCCATTGCTGTGATAAAACATCATGACTAAAAGCAACTTGGGGAGGAAAGGGTATTTCAGCTTACAACTCTTGAGTCACACTCCATCACTGAGGGAAGCCAGGGCAGGAACTCATTGCAGGACCCTGAAGGCAGGGACTGAAGCAGAAGCCATGGAGGAACGCCGCTTGCTCATGTGCCCCCCATGGCTTGCTCAGCCTGCTTGCATACAGCACCCTGGACAGTGGTCTGGGCACCAGAGGCTTGCCCAAAGACCAATCTGATGGGGGCATTTTGTCAATGGAGGTTCCCTTTTCCCAAATGACTCCAGATTGTGTCAAGTGGACATAAAACTAGATAGCACAAAGTCTCATAAAAAAATTTTAAAGATACACACACAGGAAAGAAAAAAGAACAGAAAATTTCTTATTTTTACATATTTGATACCCACTGAAGGAAGACTTGCTGGGGTGAGAGGGTAATGATCTCTAAGCAGCAGATTTAACAAGGCACTTTAGGCAAGCGAGAAGGGACATCACACAGAACTAATCTTGTCCCTGCTCAGAAGTCTACAGAAAAATAAATCTAGAAGGCCTGGTCCCTCCACCCACTATTTCTCAGTTCAAGGCACTTGCCCAGCTAAGACAATTATGGTTGAATTAATATCTCTGTCAGTCATCTATGATGTACTAGAAAAAAAACCCCAAAAGCATGTGCACGGTCACAGACAGAAAAACAAGAGAGAAGACAAAAAATTCCTGAGCTTAGAGACTGCACTTCGGTTGTCCGTCATAAGAAAAGGTAAAAACACCCTTACAAAACAGCATATCAGGGCTGGGTAGATGGCTCAGTGGGCTAAGTGCCTGGCACACAAGTGTGAGGGCCTGAGTTCAAATCACTAGAACACACGTAAAAGCTGGACACAGTCATGTGAATGTCTGTGATTCCAGCACCCCCATGAGGAGATGGGAGGTAGAAACTGGAGAATTCCTAGGATCTTGTGGACTGGCAAACCTAGAGTACACAGCCGAAAAGTAACAAAAAGACCCTGCTTCCAAACAAGGTGGGGCCGGGCAGTGGTGGCGCACGCCTTTAATCCCAGCACTTGGGAGGCAGAGGCAGGCGGATCTTTGTGAGTTCGAGGCCAGCCTGGTCTACAGAGCGAGATCCAGGAAAGGCGCAAAGCTACACAGAGAAACCCTGTCTCGAAAAACAAAAACAAAAACAAAAACAAACAAGGTGGGAGGTCGGTGCTAACTTCTGAGGTTGTTCTCTGACCACAGCATGCATCTGTACTCACACATACAGACAAACCAACCAAACCACATACAAATGTAAATATAAAATGGCTGAAGATGCATCTCAGTGGTGGAGCCCTTGCCTGGCATGTATGAAGCCCTGGTTTTGATCCTGAGCATTATTTAAAAAAACCCAATTAAATAAATAAATGAACACAGTAAGATTCAGAGTGAGGGATGAAGAGAATGGCGGTGCATACTTGCAATATGAATCAGATGCCCTCTGGAAAAGTGGTGCTCTTTCTTATTTTTGAAAGAGGTATGGGGGACTAACTCAAAAAGCTCTACTATAAGTAGAGTAATTGCCAGATTACTCTTCAAGTGATAACAAAACTCAGTTATGTTTTAAGTTATTCTGAGAAGGCTAAAACCACAACTGTATCACTGCTAGTCTGCAAATCCAACTGAAAACAGTTGTGTTATGTGATGATTCAGATGATAGTGTAAATACCAAACATAAAAATAAACCATACTTTGTATCATTAGGAATATGCAAACAGTATGATGATCATTGCCTTTTAACTTTACTCTCGTACCTTTGAATACTTGTTACAATGTTCAGAAGAAAGAATCAATCCAGGCAAGTTACTGGGCAAGTCCAGACGTCTAAAATACCACACCAAGTTCCAAAAGACAATTGGATGATGGTCCACAAAGTCTGCCACTGTTATTGCATGGTCACCTTCATTTTCCAATAAGCTCTCAAGTTCCTTCCACACCACTAAGGGACTAAGGTATGGGACAGTGACAGGGTCTGGACTTGGAAGGTGCCATTCTAACCCTAAAGAATCCTGTTGAATAAAATCATATATGACAAATGTAAGAATGAAGATGCATTATTATTTTAAATTTAAAGCATACTTAAAAATGTCTATGATTTCCATTTGTAGAAAGATAACAGAACTGTATCACAGGATGGGGTTCTTTGGGACAATAATATAATTGAAGCTAATAATGTTCTTTGGGACCAAGGGAACAAGACTGTGTAAATGATCAATTTACAAATGAGAAAAACACTCAAATACATACTGTAGTTCCTTGTAAAGTTGCTGGCAGGCTGCCTGTAGGGATGAGCTTCTGTCCTCCAGGATCGTCCTTATCCAAGGGGCCACAAGTACTAATGCTCCTGGCCATAGGGAATAGTGGACATTTCGACACAACTGTTTTTGTTCTGTGAGCAGGGATCTGAATACTTCGAGCACAGGCATTTTCCTGCAGTTTAGATTTGCTTGGACATTTAAAAAAGAAAAATCTTATCAGTGCCTAGTCTGTCTTATCTGACCTCATCTTATTTCATATCATCTTATCTAGAAAAACCATGCTGTTCCTTTTAGAATCAGAGCTGGACATAGCAAATTAAATAAAAAGAAATGTGCTATCCAGTCACCAACTAGGAAATAAGATATATTTTAAGCATTGTGGCAATTGAGTCAAATTTCCTTTATATCAAACAAATCTTCAATACTCAAGATTCATTTCATTTACTGAAAATATGTAGTGAGGAGATTTTACATAGCATCCTGACTAACCCTTGGATATACACAGTAGAGAATATGGATACACACTCTTTCAGGAGTCACAGAGAGAGAGTGGAACACAAGGGACACATAATGAGAGAAGGTGAACAGACTGTCTAACAGTCTAAGTATTTATGATCAATGGGTTGTGTCTGGCCCTGCCAGCAGTACATAGGCATTTTCTTTCTCTGCACACGCCGCTGACAACATGGCTTCACTTACTTAGTTACATATGGTGAATCTGGCACTTTTGCAAAAAAGAGCCCAGTTTCTGCATTTAAATATGTATTACTTATATTGGATTGCTATACATGCTTTTAATTTTCTAGTTCTATATCAGCTCCAACTTTTCTTACACTACTAAATATTCATAAACAGAAAATTAATATTCTAAAATAGAAGTTAGTATTAATTCTTAAAAAGATGGAGAGAAAGCTGGTCACTATAAGCTTCAAGTGTACTACAGATATTTTTTCATTTTTAAATATTGGTAAGCAGCTGAGCATGGGCTCACATCTACAATTCCAGAATCTGGGAGGTGGAGACAGGAGGATAAGGAGTTCAAGATCACTCTCATTTACATAGCAAGTTAAAGGCCAATGGGGTTACACAAGATCTTATCTCCAAACAAACAAACAAGCAAACAAACAAAAACAAAAACAAAAGCAAAATACAGGTAAACGATACTTTAACTTTGGAGTTCATGAAGTTTAACATACAAACATTCAGACTTATATAGTTATGACATTAGAGCACTTTAATATCACTTTAATTAAAAATATAAGGATTTAAGACAATGAGGGGCTGGAGAGATAGAGTTAAGAGCATTTTCTGCTTTTGCAGAAGACCTGGGTTCAGTTTCTAGTATCCACATAGTGACTTATAACCATCCCTAATTCCAGTTTCAGGGGGCATGAAGCCCTCTTATGGATTCCACATGTAGTGCATGCATATTTTGCACTTAGATATATGCAGGCAAAACTCCCATACATATAAAATATAAATAAAGAAAATCTTTTTTTAAAAAGCATAAGATAATGAATTTATTATTCATAGAAATCTGTCCATCCATGCATCCATGCATCTATGCATCTATCCATCCATCCATCTGAGGCAGGGTCTTGTTATATAGACCAGATCATCCTTAAACATCATCTTTTCTCTACCAGTTGAGAGATGAGATTATGGAATGTACATTTTTCACAGAAACTTATACCTTAAAATGGCCAACTTTTTTTTCTGTCCTATGTCAACAGCAAGTATAATATACGTAGTTACGTTCTCCACAGTCATACTTACTTATTTAGGTCATAATTCCCTTGAACAGAGAGAGCAGATGTGTTGAGACCAGAGGCTGATGCTGAAATGCAAGACTGCCTTGTTTGATTTGAGATGGAGGATGCAAAGTGCATGGTTTCTGTAGATGAGCTGGACTTCAAGAAATATCTAGAATGTGAATCAAAGACATTTTGAAAAAAAGGCATTTTAGGAAACAATATCCTTAAGCATAAAGGGAGAAAGGGCATGTTGTTACCTTCCAGGTCGTCTTAAATCTCTGATTTCAACATTCAGAAAGGGTAAGAAAAGATTGCCACAAAATGGGCACGTAGTATTGAGATTTGAATCATCTGCTGTCCAGCCAGCCATGATTTCCTCATCATGGACAAGACAATCACAAGTTCTACACCGAGAACAACTTGAGATGAGAACCTAGGGAAGAGAACATTTTACTAAGCAAGCTGGCCTGCATATACTACAAATTAAAACCCACTTTAGTCAAGAAGCCCATAGGAAAATGAAAGCTCACAAAAATTCTGACATTAATCAAAAGATTTCAACATGTACAGCCACATACTGTACATTATGACAAAGCTAGTATGGTACTGTAATGCTGCTGTTGAAGTTCATAAGACAAAAATCCCCAAAGCCACAGAAATGTAAACTTCACATCAGTGCTCGTTATTTATTTTCCAGCTGAATCTAAATTTCTTCATGTAAAATTAGCATGAAATAGCAAACACATTTAACAAAATATTTGGAAGCAATATTTTTGAGAAAAACTGGGGAAAGTTTTTAAAGTATGAAAGTATAACTTTTCATTGAAAGAAAATGAGAAATCCTCATTTTCATTTGTCAAACTAACAAAGAACGAAAACCATGATGGAAGTTGACAACAAAGCCAAGCTGTTTCCTCACCTTCTTCAAGTTTGCACAACAAAATTGATCATGTTTATGATGCAAAACAAATGTTCAAAGAGAATGTATGCATAACAAGCTATAAATATAAGTGCTGACAAATTTCCAATAAACATAGAACTGTCCTAAAAAACCAGCTTGACATCAATGACTTGAAATAACAGGTATCAAAAACCTTGGATGCAGCCGGGGGGTGGGGGATGGGGGGTGGTGGTGGGGTGGTGGTGGCACATGCCTTTAATCCCAGTACTTGGGAGGCAGAGACAGACAGATCTCTGTGAGTCTGAGTTCAGCCTGGCCTCAGAGTGAGTTTCAGGACATCCAGGGCTACACAGAGAAACCCTGTCTCGAAAAACCAACCAACCAACCAACCAAACAAACAAAAACAAAAAACCAGACCTTGGAAGTCATTTCTGAAATGTCAGATGATACATACTCAACTTTGGTCACTCCAACAATGACCATCAATACTACAGAAATGGGCATTTTATACAAAGGTACTCTCATGAGGAAAACAGTACCTCCATTGCATAGTTCTGGAAGATATTTGTATTACTGGTGTTGAGGGAAGATGCAGTTTCTGACTTTCCAGGTAAGGCAAACTTTGACAGAGATCCTGATTGAAAAAATAAAGAGCAAAACCATGAACACCCAGGAGGAGCAATGTAAGAATCCTTTCTTCCATAAATTCTGATGAAACACTATAACTTGTTCTACTAAGCATTCCAAAAGTAATTTAGAAAAAACAAATCAACAATGAGAAAGTCTCTTTCTTTCCTTCCTTCCTTCTTTCTTCCTGCCCCGCCCCCCTGACAGAATTTTTCTGTTTAACAGCCCTGGCTAATCAAGAACTGGCTATGTAGGCCAGTCTGGCATTGAGCTCACAGAGATCCACAGGCCACTGCCTCCCGAGTCACTGTCCAGCTGAAAAAGTCTTTTTCAATGAAAAAAAAAATGGTGTAAAATACTAGCTCAGGGGATAGTTAAATGTGTTCAAGAACAGATTCTCCACCTCATTTTGATAACAGAAATACACATAAAAACTAAGCTGAAGTGTTTTCCTCGCAGCAAAACACAGGAGTTGGTCAACATGCTTAGTCAATGCATTTCTCTCTCCCCGTGCATTTGTGTGCAGGCATGTGAGTGATCACATGCAATGAGTATGTGGAGGTAGAGGACAACTTGTAGAGTCAGTACTCTCATTTCACCACATGGGTCTTGGTGACGCAACTCAGGTCATGTGGCTTGGCAGCAAGCATCTTTACCCAACATAATTTGTCATACTGACAAGAACGTGGGAAAAATGTATTCTCACACACAGCTACTGAAAATGCAAAACAGTATGCCTCTGTGTGTGGTGTGATATTTTGTTTGTGTTCTGACAAATAAAGCTTGCCTAGAGATCAGAGGGTTGAGCTAGCCACTAGTTAACCACAGAGGCCAGGTGGTAGTGGCTCACAGCTTTTTTTTTTTTTTTTTTTTTTTTTAAGATTTATTTATTTATTATGTATACAGTGTTCTGTCTGCATGTATCCCTGCAGGCCAGAAGAGGGAGCCAGATCTCATTACAGATGGCTGTGAGCCACCATGTGGGTGCTGGGAATTGAACTCAGGACCTCTGGAAGAACAGCCAGTGCTCTTAACCTCTGAGCCATCTCTCCAGCCCCAGTGGCTCACAGCTTTAATCCCAGTACTTGGAAGGCTCATACCTTTAATCCCAGAACTTGGGAAGTGGAGACAGGATCTCAGCCCCCTTTTCAGTCTGAGGATCCAGAGAGGTAAGAAGTAACTAGTGGCTGCTCCTTTGCTTCTATGATCAGGTTATTACCCTGATATTTGACTCCTGGTTTTTTAGTGATAAGACTAATTAGGATCACACTTCATATGGCACCCAATGTGGGGCAAGAATTTCCACATAAAGCCTGAAAAGGCTTTAAAAAGGATTCTAAACACACAAAAACAGAGTCAAAACTTGGCTTCTTGGTAACTGCTTTTTCTTGGGTCGACTCTGTTTACTAGCGGCAAGCAGAGGCACTGCTCCTTTAAGAGATGGCTTCCTGACTCAGTGCTAGCAGCAAAAACTGCATGGCTCTTTTAAAAGAGACAAACACTTAAATGGGGTTTATGAGCAGCAGGTGGCATGCTACTCAATGGCAGTGTGGACCCAGAAGCTCCCCAGAGCTGGGGAGGTGAACAAGGCTCTCGCCAATGACTCTGCCATGAAGCTGGGCTCTTAGGGAACCAGGCAGGGCAGAGGCAGAGGTCCTATCCACACTGCTTAGCAGTTTAAAGGCTCATATAGTTAGAAAAAGATAGAGATATGCAATAAAGACAGATTCAGATAAACAAACAAACCTCTAAACAGTTTATAGTATGTTTGAAAAATGTGTGTAGGTTTGGGAGAGAGTAGAGAAAGGGTAGAAACAGTCATAGATTTAAAAAATTATTTAAAAATAATAGTAAGGGCTGGAGAGATGGCTCAGAGGTTAAGAACACTGGCTGTCCCCTGTCCCCCCGCCCCCTGCCAGGTCTTGAGTTCAATTCCCAGCAACCACATGGTGACTCACACCCATCTAAAATGAGATCTGGTGCCCTCTTCTGGCATGCAGGCATATATGCAGACAGAATACTGTATATATAATAAATAAATAAATCTTAAAAAAATAATAGCAAAGTCCTTAAAAAGGGAATAGAGTAATAAACAATATGATAAGCCACACCACATAAAGATGAACAATGCAGAGAGTCTACATTTTGTATTTTATTGTGTTGTCTTTGGATTTTTTGACTGTTAATGGGCAAATGATAATTGCTGAGAGACATTTGATTGTGAAAGATACTGAATTAAACCAATTTATTTATTTTAAAAAATCTTGACTTCAAAATTTAAGTCAAAAGATATGTTACTTAGGGAAAGAGGTTCTGCTTTTATTTCCACAGGAAATGAGAGGCTCTGGATTCATTCCGGGCTAAGAAAAATCAGGTTTGATCAAGGAAGACTTAGGAAAAATTTCTGATGGGAGCAGACAGCTCAGATGATCCCACATTTCAGAGCACCTCTGTTGTAGTTTCCTCTGAGTTCTACATCCAGAACAGCTTCAAGGCTGCTGACTGAGATGATCCCACCTCACAGAATTCTCTAGTCAGGACTTGCCTATAATTCTGAATTTTCTCAGGGTCCCCCAAAGCTCCCAATCAACAGGAAGTAATCTAGAGAACTATGTTTACATCCCCAAAAGATGGGTCATGGATATTTATTATCATTTAAGGGGAGAGGGAGTTAGGTACAAGTTGTTACTGGTAATAGTCAAGAAAAAAGCTGAACAAAGGAGATTAGATTCAGGGTTCTCACTATAAAAAAGAAAAGGGGGATATAGAAATGTGGTAATGAAAGTTAGGATAGAAAGGGAATTAGGTACAACACTTTGGACTCACCAGGATAGGACAGATAATGGAGTAATCTCTCTGAATTTGTCAAATGCTAATGGACTAGACATCGTTAATGTAATTATTGCCTGTATATATTATTACATAGTTATTGTTCTTATTGTATAAAGTTTTTCTATGTTAGTTAAAACCTTTGTTTTTTATTTAGACAAAAGGAGAAAATGTTGTGTGATATTTTGTTTGTGTTTTGACAAATAAAGCTTGCCTGGAGACCACAGGGCAGAGCTAGCCACTAATTAACCATAGAGGCCAGGAAGTGGTGGCTGACACCTTTAATCCCAGCACTTGGGAGGCTCACACCTTTAATCCCATCTCAGCACTTGGGAGGCTCATGCCTTTGATCCCAGCACAATCAGGATGTTGAGACAGGACTATAAGGCAGGCGGAGATAGGATCTCATTCCCCTTTTCGGCCTGAGGATCCTGAGAGGTATGAAGTCATTAGTGGTTGCTCCTTTGCTTCTATGACCTTTCAGGTCATTACCCCGATATCTGACTCCTGGTTTTTATTGATAAGACTAATTAGGATTGTGCTTCATCTATGAAAGGAACCTGGAAATACTACTTCAAGGACAAACTAGGAATTATCTTAGAAAGATACATTGGTTAAAAAAAATGGCACATATGTATTGTGGCATTATTCAGACTTGAAACTTAATGCTCAGCAGTAGGTAGTGGTTAAAATAAACTGAACTAAGCCACTGAGAAAATGGATGAGTGGCATTCACTAGTGATGATCTGGTCAGAGAAAGAAACTATGGGTGGCTTAGTGCATGTTACCTTTTGAGTTTCAAAATAGCAAAGATATATAAAAAGACCCGTATTTACATTTTCAAGTGAAAAGATAAAACAAAAAGTGAGAAAAACAGTTACTTCTAGAACAGAAGCAAATAATGTGAAGGGATAAGGGCAGAAGCCAGACTTCTTTGAAAATGACCTGTTCTTCCCCCTTCCCTATTTTTATTTGTTTGTTTGCCATGCAAATCTTTTAGATAGAAAAGCAATTAAATCACAAAGAAGGAAAGACTGTGCAAATAAGCAGCATGACAGAAACTGGGCGAACCTTCTAAAGAGGCAGAGCTTCCCAGGCTTGTGCGGCTGACATCAATTCCCTTGGTCCCTGAAGTGGCACTGCTTTCTTGGGAGGAAGTGGCTCCTTCCAACTCATGGCAGACATCTTCATCTGTTAAAGAGGTAGATTCAGAATCCTGGGCTCCCACTGAAGAAAGACTGGTACGATCAGAACTTTGATCCTAAGAACATAATTATAAGCTTAATTTCCTTCACATTTAAAGATAATTATCTAAAAGTCACTTCTTAAATAGAAACAACTACCTACCACCAGATGGTCAACATCATAATTTCTGCAAGAAAAACAACCAGTTTTATAAAGGCATACTACTCTGGATAACTATGTTGGAGTCCAACTCTCTCCATGTGTGTGTTTGCACTGTGTTAAGGTTGCATTGTGTTGAAGTAGGCATGTGTATGCATTTTGTTTAGGTGTGCATACATGTGTACAGCTCAGAGGAAATCTTAAATGTTGTTCCTCCGCAGCTATCCACTTTTTGTTGAGGCAGGGTCTCTCATGGCCTGAAGCTTGCCAAGTAGCCCAGATTAGATGGCCAGTGAGTCCCTGGGATTTCTGACTCTCTATTGCTATAATGACAAGCACAAGTCTCTGCAGCTGGCCTTTAAAAAATACTCATTATTTAAAGAAATATTTTATTTATATTTATGTGTATGGCTATTTTGCTTGCATGTATGTCTGAGCACAACGTGCATTCAGCAACCATGAAGGCCAGAAGAGGGCATCGGATCCTCTGGTACTAGAGTTACAGACAGGTGAACCTCCATGTGGGTACTGTGAACCTAACTGTAGCCCTCTCTAAGAGCAGTGAGTGCTCTTAATCACTGAGTCACCTCTCCAGGCTAGCAATCTTTTTCTTTGACTCATAAATTACTTAGAACTTTGGATTTTTTGATACCATACTTATTAATAATTTCAGTTGGATTCTATTGTGGTCAGGAAATATGCTTTCATTAAAAAAATCTTATTGAGGCCGGACAGTGGTGGCACATGCCTTTAATCCCAGCACTCAGGAGGCAGAGGCAGGAGGATCTCTGTGAGTTCGAGGCCAGCCTAGGCTACAGAGTGAGTTTCAGGAAAGGTGCAAAGCTATACAGAGAAACCCTGTTTCCAAAAACAAAACAAAACAACAACAACAAAAAAAAAACAAGAAAATCTTATTGATATAATTTACATGCTATAACATTCAGAAAATAAATTTCACAAAAATTGACTTCAAAAATTCAAGAAAATTTCCTACTAAGATTTTAGAATTCAGTTAAGTTCAGTTTTTAAATTCAATTAAAATTTTTATTTATGTTTTGAGGGGGTGGAGTATTTGCACACCACAGCAAAGGGTGAAGGTTGGAGGATAGCCTGACGGAGTCAGTTCCCCTTTTACCATGGAGGCCCCAGGACGGAACCCAGGTCCTCAGGCTGGGTAGCGAGTGCTCCAACTTTCTGACCCATCCTGCCCCCAGCCCCGCCAGAAGTAAATTATGAAGTCGTATACCGAAAACTCTACAATGTAAACAACTTTTGTGTTCAGCTATTATAAGCGCTTTAGGGAACTTAGGAGGCAAAAGGCATCCATTATGCTGGCAACTGTTTACAATTCATTTCTTCCTTCCTGAAGACGCAGTTTTTCTGTTTTCCTCAGCCTGGTCTCCCTTGAGCACAGTTCACAAAGCAAGCTTGTTTTTCATTCACTCTTTCCCTTCTTTATCTGTGAGTGCCCCTATTTTACCTAAACCTGTGAAGAGTATTTTCACTGGATAGAGCCTCTGCATTGGCATGTCTTCTTTCAACATGTTAAAGATGCTTTCTCACTGAATTCTTCCCTTCATGGGTTTATGACAAAAACACATGGCCATTCAGATCTTTATTCTTTTAGCAATTTTTCTTTAATATTTTTTTAACAATTAAAAAGTTGACTTGTTTTCTTACAGATGGCTTTGTTAGCCCTTTGCTTACAGTAAGTACAGATGTATTAAAAAGGATCTATTATTATTTTGGAGGGCTATGGCTCATGTGGAGGTCAGAGGGTAACTATGCAGTCAGTTCTCCCCCTTTACATGGGTTCTGGGAACTGAACTCGGTCACTAGGCTTGTGCAAGTGCCTGCCCTGGCAGTGAGCCATCTCAGTGGCCCCAGATGTGGTTTTCTTTCCTTTATGGTGTGTTGTGTCATGTCTGTAAATTTGTATCTTTTTTTCTAAATGTGGTCAGTTACAGCATTACTAATTCAAGTATCTTTTTGGGCAATAATCATTTTCCTCAATCCTTTCTGAAATGACAACTATACCTATCCTATTTACACTTTTCATATTGTCTAACAAGTCCCGAAGGCTCTGTGCACTTTTAAAAAGACTGACTTATATTTTAGTTTGTGTGTGTGCTTTGAGTGCATGTTTGCATATGTGCCATGTGTACAGAGTACTTACAGAGGTCAAAAGGGGCACTGGAATTCTAGACAGTTGTGAGCTACCGTGTGGATACTAGGAACTGAACCCAGATCTTCTGCAAGAGTAGCAAGTGCTTATCTGCTAAGGCATCTATCTCTCCAGCCCCCCATCATCTATGCATTCTTATAGTCTTTTTTTTTGCTGTTATCTGCATTCTGTTCTTGAGTTTATTTCAGATGAGTTTATTTCATGATAAACAAGCACTTTACCACTGAGTTATATCCCCTGCTTCTGTTTTGTCTGGATTTCTCTCTCCCTCCCTCTCTCTCTTCTCTCTGACAGGGTTTACCTACATAACTTTGGTTGTTTTTTTTTTTTTCATAGCTGGCTTTGGTTGTTAGTAGTTTGCTTATGATATGTAATATGTAGAGAAATGGTTTTCATGGAGGTCAGAGGACAACTTCCCTTAGCCTAAGCCTAAGGGTAATTCTTCCTCAGAGTCCTGGTCACTGTAACTAAAAGGTGTGCATCACTATTTCCAGCCTTTCAGTTCTTTACATCATCATTTTTGAGAGAAAGTCTTATACAGCCCAGGCTAGCATTGAAACTATGTAATGTAGCTGAGAACTGGATTCCTCTGACTCTGTATTCCAAGTGCTGGGATTACAGGCACATGTCACCATGCCCACCTGTTTAGTTGTTATCATCATCATCATCATCATCATCATCATCATCATTTCATCTTAGCTACTGTGAATGTTAACTTTGCATAGCACAGGTACTGTTATAATATTTTGGGGAATATGGATGCTTTTGTTTTAGTAAACATTACTAAATTATATTTAGGCTGTGTTCTATGTTTTGCTTCTTGTAGGTGGAGTTTGAATTCAGTCTTCTCTGTTAGTCTGCATCTATCGTGTGTGTAAATCAAGGGTTAAGTTGAGACTTGAATGGGCCTCCTTCAAACTCTTTAGTGCCCCAAGGCCTTCTTTCCTGATTCTTTTGTGCACAGAGTAAGGGTTCTCCTGTGATTTCAGTTTTTTGAGCTACTATGTTCCACTGTGACTGCCCTTGGGGCAAGGAGGTATGGAATGAAAAACAGGAAACTCATCTCTGTGGAGGTCCTTCCTCCAACTCCATCAATTCTTAGTTGCTTTGTAGAATCTTTAGTTGTTTTTATATTTTGTCTGAAGTTTTTGTAATCAGTAAGAGGATGTAGGGTGGGCTGAAGTGGCCTCATGTTAATCACAGTGGATTCAAACTATTAATTGAAGTTTTGAAAAATATTTTTTGCTAGACTTGTAGATGGGTCCATATAACAGCTAGAGGACAACCTTGAGTATTGCTCCCCAGGTGTCAAGAACCTTATATTTAAAAAAAATTATATATGTAGTATGTACACATGAGCGCAAGTTCCTGAAGAGGCCCAAAGGGTCAGACCCTGCCTGAAGCTGGAGTTACAGGTGGTTGTGGGACACCTGATATGGGGGTTTGCTTGTTTGGTTATTGTGTTGTAACTGTTTGGAGACAGGGTCTTTGTTCTGGTTAGTTTTTTTTTTTTTTCAACTACACAAACTAGAGTCATCTGGGAAGAGATACCTCAATTTAGAGAATGCCTCCATCAGACTAGCCTGTAGGCACGTCTGTGGCCATTCTTTTGATTAATGAGTGATGTATGAGGGCCCAGCCCACTGTGGATATGGTACCAGCCCTGGGCAGGCAGTCCTAAGTGGCATGAGAGAGCAGGCTGAGCAACTCCCAGGGAATAAGTCTAGTAAGAAGTTTTCCATCACCGTTTCTGATTCTGATCTTGCTTGAGTTTTTGCCCAGACTTCCCTTAAAGATGGACTGTAATTGGAACATGTAAGCTAAATAAACTCTTTCCTCTCTAAGCTGCTTTGAGTCATGGTCTTTATCGTTGTTAATCCTGAGATTCACAAGAGAAAAACCAGTTCCACAATTTTGAGAGTATGGTGTCTCTTGTTCCCCTCGACAGGATAGAATGCTAAGTCAAAAGAAAATTCCTTGGCAAAGGGGACAAAATGGCTACCTATAATGCCAATTGGCATACTAGGAAAGTGGGCCCAGATTTATCAACAGGTAGATTCAATAACTAAAATAGTTCTACAATATGACAGGGCATTTGGCCTGCTTTATGCAAAACAAAGAGGTATTACATGGCTTTGGGGATTGAGTTTAGGACCTCCTGCATGCTAGGCAAGAGTTCTACCACTGAGCTTAATCCTCAGCTGTAGGCATATGCTTATACCATTGAGGGACCTGTTCAACAAAGTTCTCCCTTTTGGCAACTCATAGATGCTAGCTCTTCTCACCATGGGATTCCTAAGAACTCTTTTTCAGAGGCTTTCTGTTTATCTGTCTCATGGAACATCAGTATTTGGAAAATGTGCTTCCTCACCTCCTACAGTATTGTCCTCTCCAACCCTGCCTAAGGGAATCAATCCTGTGTAGTGAGTAGCTGTCCCAGCTTTGACCTGGAAGTACTACCCTTAGTGAGGCTTCTGGTAACTGCCATGCCTACCTATGATTTGCCCCTGGGGTGGGACCAAGATGCGAGCCCTTAAGACCTGAGATCCTGATGTGCCGGCCCTCTTGGTTCCTGGCGATCCTGGATGCTGGAAGACAGACCAAGTCAGAGTTCTCCAGAGAACCCTGCTGGACTGCACCTCACCTCTCCTGGATCCTGTAACCAACCCCTTTATTGGCTATAAGTTACCCCAAAATAAACCTCCTTTTTAACTATGTGGAGTTGCCTTGATAAATTAGTGTAAAAGCTTGAATAGTTAAGAAAGTTGTTGAGATTTTGAATGGTTGGCTAAAGTATTTGTCAAAAGATGGCCTGCTTAGAAGGAGCTGGAGATCCCTGATATCCCTTGGCTTAGTATTTATTGATGAAGGGATTTTAAGGCTGAGTAAAATTGGAATGATGGAATGGATTTCCTGTTTAAAACCTAATCCACCATGATGGAGAGGCCCAGAGACATGCCTTTCTCTAATACTGTAAGACACAAGATGGTGACAGAGGAACATGTGAAGAGCTTTGTTATTGACCTTCTTACGTCAGACCTTATGGTGAGAGATGTAGCTGCTGCACTGGATAAATTAAACATAGCAGGTCTAACTGAACCCTGAATGTCCTGAGCTAAGCGGCAGTGCTGGCTTTCCAAAGGCCAGGTGATAGACCTGGGTACCTGAAGCCCTCAAGTGTTCACTGTTCCCCCTCCTCTCCTCTTCATTTCTCCCTCTCCTCTCACAGATGGCAACTTTATGCTTGATGCTCACAATTAGGAAAAATGCCTTCTGGGGAAATGACTATTGCTTTAATTCCTTCCTGCAATTCTCTTTCTGGAATCTTACCTTTCTGTTCTCTAACTGTGACAGTTCTTGGATGATTCCTAACACACACTTTCTATATTTCATCTACATTTTTGCTCTTGGGAGGAACACAAGTTACTTCATCCTAACCAGGAAGAGACAGCATAGGCCTGGTTAGTAATTTTTGGAAACATACTAGACACTGAGAAAAAGGTACATTCTGAAGGCAATACTGAAATTCAGATCTTCCAAGTTAAAATCAACAACATTTTCTTGGGGCTGGAGAGATGGCTCGGTGTTTAAGAGCAGTTACTACTCTTGCAGAGGACCTGGGTTTGGTTCCCAGCATCTACACGGCAGCTTACAACTGTCTGTAACTACAGTTTCTAGGAATCCTATACCCTCTCCTGGCCTCTGTAGACATTTGCACATAATGGTTCACATGAACTCACATAGGCACATACACATGCATGTCAATTAAAATAAATTCTTAAAAAACCTCACTGTCTTTTATAAGCTGTACTTAAGGAGAAGGGTTAGACAGATGTACTTGTAAGCTTTCAGTAGTGGTAATGGTCAAGGAAGCATGAGAAAAGAAAAGCAGCCAATGCCAACACACCTACCTTTGATGATGTGGTGTACATGGTGAACCTTGAGTACCATTTGCTTGCTTTCTCTGCAACTCCTTTCCCCGCCGAGAACACACTGTGCCTTAGCACATCGAGTTTAGGTACCAGCAGTGTATCTAAGTTAAATGAGGGTGATGAATGGGCTAGTGTTTCTTGAGAACCTTCCCTAAATGGACAAGTGGGTGAGAAGGCTGGTGAAGACCACAATCTATCCCTTGGTCTCTCCTCACTTTTGGTATAACTTTTAGATTTGGTAAGTCTCATTGGCCTAGGAGAATTTGGAGGCAAGCTTGATCTCCTGCAGGCCTTGACCAATGTTGGACTTTTCTTACTAGCTAACTTATCATCACATGCTCGTAAATCCATGCTTGGTGTACGGCTTGCCAAAGGACTGCTCATGTTATTCATATACATCTCAATTTCTTCAGCTAAATTACGTCTAGCAGATGGTGTTGAAATGCTTTTGCTATCATCTTCATCCTCTTCTTCTTCCACCTTCTGCTGCTGTTCAGTCTCAGCAACCAGGAGAGAGAGGGGATCAAATCCTGTTACAACATCTGTTTTTTCAGAAGGTTTTACTGAAAAGCTGCTGTTCATACGTTGAAGCCTCTTGGGATTTTGTGCAGCGACACATCCTACTTTTGATCCATCTGTTTCAGTATCTAAATCTTCTAAGTCAAAAATACCAGGAGAATCCACTTTATCCAAGCAGTTAGAACCATCAAAAGGTGTGTCGTCGTCGTCACTAGATTCCTTTTCTAGGCTGTCTCTTTTTGATCTTACAGGTGGCTTTCCAATGTCAAGACTATTTGGCCTTGTGCTTTTTGAGATAACATTTGAAAGAATTTTTGCATCAGCTCCTAATTTTTCAACCATATCCCCAGGGTTTGTTTCCTGGTTAATTCTATTCAGCATAAATCCCATCAGAACCCCGCCACTAAGATTACGGTTCCTATTTCCCCAGGCCATTTGCTGCTGCAAATGAGATTCATCATCACTTTTATGTCTTTTCCTGAAGCATCTGCTTCGCATGTTTTTGGTTTCATTGGTATCCTCAAGAGATGGCATGAAGAGCAGCTCAGGTGTACTTTCTGAAAAACAAGAAATGTGCTTTCAGTCATGAAAATGTACTGTGTAAATATGTCATCTTAAATATTTAAAATACTAGTAATGGGGATGATAACACCAGGTGCTCACTGGCTTCCAGGTTCCACTCTAAAGCTCACTGCTGTTGTTGCTATAAACATTCCAACATTCAGAGCAGATAAAACACACATGAAGAGAGAGAAACTATTTAGACAAAGTTATCCTGTTCTTAAGTAACAGGACTTGATTCAAATTCAAATTTGTCTAATGAGAAAGGTTATGCTTCTAGCCATTAGAATGCACTGCTTAAAAATATAAAACTTACCAATTCAGATTTGCATTTTAACAGAGATAAATTTACACTTAGTAACAGCTGGACAATTGCAACTATGGATGAATATGAAAGTCTAAGCCATCTTCTTATTAAGATGCAAAACAAGTCCCCAAACATCAAATCAAACCAATGGTAACTAGAGTAATTTTATCCACAAGTAAAAATTATTTTTAAATCTTCAAATTTTTGACTATACATGTAGATTTTACCTTTGCTTTAATACAATAATTGCTGTATTGTAATATGAATTTTTTTTTTTTTTGGTTTTTTTTTTCGAGACAGGGTTTTTCTCTGTGTAGCTTTGCGCCTTTTCCTGGAACTCACTTGGTAGCCCAGGCTGGCCTTGAACTCACAGAGATCCACCTGGCTCTGCCTCCCGAGTGCTGGGATTAAAGGCGTGCGCCACCACTGCCCGGCCCTAGTAATATGAAAATATTTTAAAAAGAAAAACTTTATTTATTTATTTAGAGACAGGGTTTCTCCGTGTTGTTTTGGTGCCTGTCCTGGATCTCTCTCTTAGACCAGGCTGGCCTTGAACTCACAGAGATCTACCTGGTTCTGTCTCCCGAGTTCTGGGATTAAAGGCATGCACCGCCACCGCTGGCCAAAACTTTATTTTTTTGAGACACTGTCTCACCAAGTAGCCTGAAGCCTAAGTAGACCAGGTGAATCAGAACTCAAAAGAGATTCAGCTGCCTCTGCCTCCCAAGTGTGGGAATTAAAGATGTGTGCTACCAGGGCCATGGGTATTAGTTTCTTAAACTATCTGAAGGACTATCTGTTTTGTCTTTGAATAATCACAAACTACATTAGATTACAAAAGCATGTGGTTCATTAAAAAACTGGCTAGGTGTATGGTTCCCTCAGATTCACTACTCCCTCCCACCTTTTTTTTTTTTTTTTTTTACATACCTTCCCTTCTAAGTCCCAATAGTACAAACTCAAAAGGCAGCATTTAGGCCACAGGTGCACCCTTATGCCTTGTTATAATAAAAGCATGAGCAAATACATTATAAAGCACAAAACCCAAGCTCCTAAGTTTTACTAGGAGAGGGCACACAAACATATTCTAATAGATAATTCTAGTGCATTAAGATATTTAAAAAGTATATATTCACTAGGACCAGTGAAGTGGCTTAATGAGGAAGGATATCTGCCACCAAATCCGACCCCCTGAATTCAATCCCAGGGACTCAGACGGTAAGTTGTTTCCTGACCTACACACATGGCTGTAGAACATATGCAAAATACAATAAAATGTTTTAAAACATTTTAAAAACACATATTTGGTAGGCACAGACAGAATTCATTCTGCATATGGCCAATGTGTACTATTCAACTTACCCCCACATTCTCCAGATATTTTATCAGCACTGCTGTTACTTGCACCACTGAGGCGAACTATAGTTGAAGAACTTTGGTAACTGAGAGTAGGCAGGCAGTCAGCACTTCCTTTTGTACTCTCATTCTCTGACACTATAAAGACGAAAATAAACATGTTAAGAAAATTAAACCTGTAGACATCGCAGAATGTATGAAGAGAAGCTTTTAGTCTTACATATTTAAAATGAAAATTGGTGATAAGAAGGTACTAACTGCTTCTCTACACACTTGTCAACCACAAATAAGTCATTACACTTCAAGGCCATCAAATGTGGATCAAATTACTAAGAACTGGTCAAATATAAGGCTCATGAAGAATTTTATATTTTCTCTTTGGTTGTAAAAGACAGATTTTGGATTGGAAGAAAAGGGGAAATATAAATCACAATTCACCAACAAACTTTAAATAAAGATATTTGTTTGGTTCGTACCTCCAGTTCACCCCTGCATGATCCGGAAATCCCCATTCCGGTCTCTCTCTCCAACCCCTCCCCCCAGAATCTCCAAACAAATGAGACTCCAAAAAGCCCAGTTCTGCATTCTTGCCACCAAAGTCCCTGCCTAAAGCAGTCAGCTTTTGACCATATTTGAGCACAAACCCAGCTTGTGGTGGACAGGTCATCACCCCTTGCCTACAACCTATATAATCTCCCTGCTTTAGTTCAGATGTGCAGCTTCTCCAGCCTCAATCTCTGGGACTGGAAAACCCACCTGGGAGTTCAAATAAACCTGTTGCTCAAATAAACCTGTTGTTATACTTTTTCAATTCGGTTTGATCTGGCTTACTGTGTTGGCAGAGAACCCTCTTATGGGGTGGGGAGAGCAGAAAAACCTATCAGTAGTGTGCTGGCTAGTTTGATGTCAACTTGACACAAGCTACAGTTGAGGGAGCCTCAACTGAGAAAATGCCTCCATAAGGTCAGCTGCAGGTAAGTCTGTAGGGACTTTCTTAATTAATAATGGATGGGCGAGGGCCCAGTCTATTGAGGGTGGGGCCACCCCTGGGTTGGTGGCCCTGGGTTCTATCAGAAACCAGCCTGAGAAGTCATGGAGAGCAAGGCAGTGAGTAGCATTCTTATATGGCCTCTGTATCACTCCTGCCTCCAGGTTCCCCCCCTGTTTGAGTTCTTGTCTTGGCTTCCCTCAATGAGCTGTGAGTGGTATATGTAAACCAAATATCCTCCCCAAGTCGCTTTTGGTCATGGTGTTTCATCACAGCAACAGTGGACCGAACTAAGACAGGTAGTATTAATCCTCAGAAAAAGAGTTCTGTTGACTTTTTTAAAGACATTTCTACTATGAGTATTTTAATACGAGTTACATAGCATGCACATTTCCTACACAACATTTTTTTGGGTTAAAGTATTAGGTGGCAAAGAGGGATCAATGAGAAAAAAGATAATTAGAACAGGAAGATAGGAGGTAAGACTAGTATTTTTATACTTAAAGTTATTTGTGTTTTCTAGGCATGTAAGTTCACAATTTTAGGTGCCTGGAGAGATGGCTCAGAGGTTAAGAACACTGGCTGCTCTTCCAGAGGTCCTGAGTTCAATTCCCAGCAACCACATGGTGGCTCACAATCACCTGTAATGAGATCTGGTGCCCTCTTCTGGTGTGAGGGAATGCATATAGGCAGAACATTGTATACATAATTAAAAAAAATGATATCCATGTGAAGTTCACAATTTTTACATAATACCAACTTAACAATTAATACTTACAGGAACTAGAATCACTCCCTTTTTTATCTTTTTCACCTTGAATGTCTTCAGCAGATGTATGCTCTCTTCTAACACTGTCCTTAGATAATGAATTATATCCAAGATCAGACTGGCCACCTGAGCAAAAACAGAAACAAATACTATACTGCTTACCATAAATTTTTTTTGAGATTATATCCTAAACAAATTTAATGATCAGACAGTCTTTAATAGAAGACTAGTCAACTGTAAAAGTCCCTAGGCCAACACAACACCTTGAATGAACACTCTTGGCTACTGTCTTGAATGAGAGACCCCAATAGGGGCTTTACTGTTGTCTGCCGAGAGTGGGATGGGGTGAGGAAATGAGGTAGGGACTATGACAGCATACCACACAGGTGAGTGGTGACATCCCAGGGATGGAGCACCAATTTATATCAAGAGGCCTGCTAGCTAATCCCCACAACACCTATCACAAGTTTCTTTGGTGAAACCAACTAGAATGAGGTACCTGCCGCACATTAGTGTTTGGATTCCCTTATTTTGTTAGCTACCCAAGCACCCACCTCCATTAATGTAAAAAAGGAAAATTTCTAAATAATTTACTTTTGGTTCCATGTGCAGTAAATATTTACATTTATATTACTTTATGGATATCCAAACCAGACAAACTAGTTAATCTTCACTCAAGTCTACCATCTTTCTAGGTAAAAGTCTGAGTTGTCTTTTTAAGGCTAGGGTCTCATATAGCCCTGACTGGTTTGGAACTTACTATGTAGACCAGGCTGGCCTTGAAAAGATCCACCCGACTCTGCCTCCTGAGTGCTAGAGGTAAACGTGTGTGCCACCACATCTGGTCTGAGTTCTAACTAAGCAACAGAGAAGAGAAATTTGCAAACATACACATGTAGGTCACTGAAACTAATGATTCTGCAGAGTCAAGTTCCTTTAACTTCACTGACAAGTAATGTTTCTCAAGACTCAATCGAATAATTATAGAACTGCACCTGAGTACAAACATATAGGAATAAGAAAAATATAGTGTGTTAAAATTACTCAAGATGCTGGGCTTGGTGGCACATACCTTTAATCTCAGCACTCAGGAGCCAGGCACTTTGGTATCATAGTGAGTTCCAGGAAAGTCAGGGCTCTGTAGAGACCCTGTCTCAAAAACAAACAAACAACCTCCCCAAAACTCCCACCAAAACCAACAAACAAAAAATTATTCTTAAGGAAAGTAGAAGTCAGAAGTCAGGTGATGGCGGAATACATCTTTAATCCCAGCCCTTGGGAAGCAGAGGCAGGTGGAGCTCTGTGAGTTTGAGGACAGTCTGGTCTACACAGTGAGTCCCAAGACAACCAGGGCCACACAGAAAGACCCTGTCAAAAAGGAAGAAGAAGAAAGAAGAAAGAAGGAGAAGGAGGAGGAGGAGTAGAAAGAAAGAAAGAAAGAAAGAAAGAAAGAAAGGAAGGAAGAAAGAAAGAAAGAAAGGAGGTATACTCTGCTTTAGAAGTAGAAAATCTCTAATATCTTGTTTTGTCAACCAGATTCTGTTTCATTTTTAGTAAACTGTTCCCAATAGATCAGCCAAAAGCTAGGGTTCTGAGTAGCAGGGATGTGTGATTTTAAGTAACTGTTTTTGCATGAACTTCCAGTTCTCAGAGCTGTAAAACAAAGAAGCTATGTTTAAAATGACTAAAAATGACTAAAATGACTAAAAATAAAAGTTTTATAAACTTGTAAAGAATTCTAAAGAGGTTATATTAAGTATCACTAGGTACTTACTATTATGTCTTTGATATTAATCTGAGTTTGTTTTGGTTAATGAAACTTTCAGGTCTTAATCCCAAAGAAATCACAAATAGGAAAATTTAAAGATATTTTTGTTAGATTCCATACTATTCTGAGCCAGCCTTTAAAAAAAAAGTACACTAAAGAAATAGAAGATCTCTTCATTTTTAAGAAACTAGGCCCAAGGACAACTTCTATAACTGATTAAATTCACACTACATGATCAAGACTAAAACCAGCTAAGGAGGAATCAATATGCTATATTTTAGCACAACCAGCTCACATTTATTAGCCTTAAAAGTGGTTTAAAATGAAAGAGAAAGAAATAATGTTGCCATATGCAGAAATAGCATCCTTCACATTTTATAATGTTTTGTATTTTTAAGTTTATGCCCATTAAGAGTTTGTGTTTACCAGGTGGCGGTGGTGCATGCCTTTAATCCCAGCACTTTGGGAGGCAGAGCCAGGCGGATCTCCATGAGTTTGAGACCAGCCTGGTCTACAGAGCGTGATCCAGGATAGGCACCAAAACTACACAGAGAAACCCTGTCTCGAAAAACCAAAAAAAATAAAAAAAAGTTCATGCTCATACTATACTAAAAATCATGTGCATTTTTTAAAATAATGAAAAGTCAGAATTACACAAGTAATTTAGTGTGTTTTAATACTAATGCTTTAATGCTTATGTAAAATTATTTATTTGCATTGTATGTGTGTGTATTTGTGGACCTCCAGGTCAGAGGACAACTTGCAGGAGTAGGTCTTTCCATGTGGATGCTGGGGATGGAAGTCAGGTCATCAGGCTTGGCAAGAAGTGCCTTTACTCACAGAACCATAGTGCCTGCCCTTATGTACAAGTCCTATATTTTAATGAAAGTAATGTCACAGTCACTGCTAGGACTTCTGCATTTAAACTGAAACTTTTTCTTTTAAAAAGTTTGATTCACTGAGTGTTGGTAGTTTACACCTCTAATCCCAGCACTTGGGAGGCAGAAGCAGGCAGATCTCTGTGAGTTCAAGGCCAGCTTGGTCTACACAGTGAGTTCCCCAACTGCCAGAGTTACAAAGAGAAACCCTGTCTCGAAAAACCAAAAAAAAAAAAAAATTGATTCAAAACTTGCAAAAAAAATAATATTTTACAGAAAGTTCTTGGTGGGGCCCTTTGCTGGTTTCTCCTAACCATATCCTACATGACCACAACACAATGTTAAAATGAGGAAACTGGCATTGGTATAGTACTATTAACTCAGAAACACAGATAAGATTTCTTAAAAAGAAAATGACACAGCAAGCTGCTGGGAGTACAGCTCACTGGTAGAGCCCTTGCTCAGGATGGCCTACCTTTAAAAAACAAAACAAAACAAAACAAAAACAAAGGCACCACCTAGAATGGTCAAGAATTTTGCGGCTACCTAGGGTTAAGTAGATTACCATGAACTAAATACTTGAACTGAGTACTTTGTAACCTCTCAAATAAATAATGAAGAGAGTTACATATAGCAATTAAATTTAATGTGAAGTGTCTAATAGAAATCAAAAAGTAACAGTTAAATACATCATCGAAAACAAGCTAAAAACATAGACTAGCAAGTTTAGTTTTGAAAATGTACTATAATAAATGTATACAGAAGCACAACAAACTTGTACTGGATTATCATCAGTAGCAGATACTTTGGATACTATGGGTAATCCTGTATTGAAAGGTGCCTACTCCACAATGTGTGTCCCATTACCACTATGCATGCTACCATGACTAAAGCATCGGGTCACTACCATCTGCTTAAGAGCCAAGTCGAGAGCATTTTACTACTAAAGGACCAAAGCAACTCTTCAGAGTTTGTTGTTAAAGCTGTAACCTACTATTTAACCATGTGAAAAGTGCCACACACAGAGCAAAATACAACTACAACAGAGCACCTACTGTGAGTTACTAATAACTACTAAAACAAGAGCAGTAAGGATTGACAATCTGGCAACTGGAGAAAGAGGAATCTGGTATTTTCTAAAATGGGAAGAGTTGTCTAATACAGGTAGGATTTCTTTATTCTGTTTTTTTGTTTGTTTGTTTGTTTTTTGTTTTTCGAGACAGGGTTTCTCTGTGTAGCTTTGTGCCTTTTCCTGGAACTCACTTGGTAGTCCAGGCTGGCCTCGAACTCACAGAGATCTGCCTGGCTCTGCCTCCCGAGTGCTGGGATTAAAGGTGTGCGCCACCACCGCCCAGCGGATTTCTTTATTCTGAAAACTTGAAATCTAAAACTTTTTATGCACCAACGAGACACCACAAGTGGAAAATTCCACAGCTGACGTGATGTGATAGATCGTACCAAGCCAGAGGCACACCATAGACACTGCATGAAGTGAGCATAAAGCTGTGTGTAAGCTCTATGTGGAACACGAATGGCTTGACTCCCACCTCCCTTGTAGTTCCATACACATTAGCAAACACTGCAACTCTAAAACAATCTGAATCCGGAACACTTCTGTGCATAAGTCAACTTTTAATAAAATTTCTTGACTGGCAGTAGAACCCAGAAAATATTCAGCATTTTAAAGCACTTAAAATTTTCTAAAAATATAAACTATAATCAATTAGTTTTGAAAAAAGCAAACCATGTGCATACTTCATCACCCTTTAATTACCTGAGAGAGCTCTCTGTGTTAAGTGTGGATGTTTCTTTAAAGCTCTTTTGAATTGTGCGACTCCTAAAACAACATTTCTTACTTTTGTCCAAAGAAAATAGCCACTGCGACTTCTTGAAGGCCATGTACTTTCCAAAACAGCCTATTCATTTAAAAATATATAATTAGTAAATCAATTTTTATAAATGAACATACACTGACTTCTGAATCAAGCTAAAGAAAATAAAAGTTTAACATGATAGAAAACAAAAATATCTTAATTTATGAAATAAATTCTAAACATTGTAAAACAAATACCAAGTAGCCCCTGATTATTTTTTGGCAGTAAATTAATGTTGTGCAATGACAAAACAGTACTTTTCCTCATTAAATAAAAATAACTACTGCCGGGCAGTGGTGGCGCACGCCTTTAATCCCAGCACTCGGGAGGCAGAGCCAGGCGGATCTCTGTGAGTTCGAGGCCAGCCTGGACTACCAAGTGAGTTCCAGGAAAGGCGCAAAGCTACACAGAGAAACCCTGTCTCAAAAAACCAAAAAAAAAAAAAAAAAAAACTACCTTATTGTAATATCCGTAAGTGATTGCATTGGGGTCAATACCAGCTTTCTGCATTTCAAAAAGCACACGAACTGCAAGCACAGGCTGGTCATACTGTCCACAGAGCTGCATGAGAATTCGGTAGCACACCTGCAACACAAGTTGAGAGGTGTTCGGAAACATTCTTACATACAGCAATCTAAAATAAAACAACACATCTGGGAACACGTGTTATCACCTCATCAGGTGGATCCATCTTCTTTAGCTGCATCTTTTTAAGCACATCATATGCTGTTTTCAGAGCCCTGACTTTGGAATGACAAACCTTCACATAAGCTGGGAGACAAATAAACCACAATCCATAGCAGTGACGCAGCAGACACCTAGACCACATCTGAGGGATAGAAGAATACCTCTTCGCAATCTTATGGGCTGATTTGATTTCCTAGAAAGAAATCCAAGGTAGCATCCTTATTTAACTTAATTGTAAACACAGAAAGTCACATGCTTTTGTAGAACTTGTCTGGAACTAATATATTTTTAAGTCTCCTCTTGAATTTGTATCATATATAAAATAAAGCTCTAGGTCAGATTACTACAAACTATATTCCAAGTGCATAAAGTGCCTCGTCATCTGCTGAAGGTTACGTCTGGGTAGTAACGGTTATCAAAGGAGGATGAGCATCAGGTTACTTCCTGTCTATCTGAATACACGAGGAACATGGTTTTCAAAGCACCTGCTTTGTTCTTCTGAACATGGGAGAAGGGCTACTGGGACTGCTGGGTTTTGAAGGCAGCTTGTTCTTTCGTGCTTGGAGAAATCCTTCAGGTCTCTCAAATAAATTGTTCCTGAGAACTGGAAATCCATTATAGCTGTTTCAGAGAAAAAGAAATTGCTTTTCAACCGCAGATAGATTGCTACTAGCTAGAATAATTACGACCAAGTAACTTATTTAGAATTTAATTATATTTTTCTATCAGAATATAAGATATACTCAACAAATAAATATTTTTTCATAAATATTATTTTTATAAACACAGACTCAATATATCTAGAAATAAAAGAGGAAACACATTTTAATGAACTTGATATCAAATTCCAAAGCAATTCCAGCAAACTTTTAAAAATGAGTGTTCATATAAATACATAGAGAGTATTTTCGAGTATGTTCCTAGTGGTAAAGGGCTCATGAAAACAATATTCTTTCAAACAAGACAGCCCACAATGCTGTTGCTTTGGATTAAGATATTTATACTCTCTCTTAAAAAGATGGCAACAGCAGCTGGGTGTGACCTCAGCACACTGGGCTAGGTTCTCACATTATCTTGACTGGCTTATAGACTAGCTAGGGGGACCTCACTTTTGGAAGAAAGAAAAACAAATTGTGACTCAATGAAAATTACAGATTTGAAATAGTTCTAGAACCTTTAAATAAAGTATTGCTGAAGAATAAAAACAATTTAAAATATAAAAAGAAACACAATCTTAGGTAAAAATAAATGTATACAGCACTTAAAAGAAAATAACACATCTACCTCCTTCTTCACAGCTCTTATTTTACTGTACTCAGGACTTCTCTTCCTTCCCCACTAGATTTGAATGCAGAGATAACAAATCATTTAAGTCTACACTAATCTCTCAGCAGTCTCTTACAAACTTTCTAAATTAACAATAGTCAATGTCAACAATTCTGAAATTTCATGTCTTAAAATAGAAATGCATCAAAAATGAAGTTTAAAATTTGTATCATACAAATTAAGGCAACAGATAATGAACCTAAATTAATTTATAATCTCTTTGTAAATCAGCTACATTAATCAATGTGTATGTGGCAATAAAAAAGGGGTGGGAGCGAGGAGATTGGTTTTTAGTAAAAAGTAAAAATCAAAATTCTATAATAAAAGTAATACATGTGAATGCTGTCTGATCTACTAATTTAACCAGTATTGACAAGGCTACTTAAAGTTTATGAAAAATTTTATTTTTTTCTGTCTATGCTGTAAAACTTAATGGACGTGGGATGGGCTTGCTTATCTATAGCTTGTATTTTTGAAAATACCACAGTCCTTGGAAAGCTATGCCACAGATGATGGATTGCTTCTCCATCCATCTCATACACTGTGTTATTGAATACCTGTACTGTAATGGGGGCTCTTCACCATTGGGTAAGTGGGGGATCTCGGGTGGTGTCACAAAAACAGTATGTTCACTTTTGAAAGATGCATCCAGTTCTATAAGTCGAACTTCACCAGTCTTGTCCATATCCACCTGAAGGAATTTAAAAATGCATTTAAAAGCCACATTGGTTAGGCAAGAATGCATTCATAGGGGAATGGTTAATTAAACACTTCATTTCCATCAACAGCTACTAAAGAACTATTCTTAAAAAGTGCCTTAGAGCCAGGCATGCTGGTGTACTCCTTTAATCCCAGCACTCAGAAGCAGAGGCAGGTGGATCTCTGTGAATTCGAGGCCAGCCTGGTCTACAAAGAGAGTGCCAGGACACACAGGGCTGTTACACAGAGAAACCCTGTCTCTAAAAACAAAACAAAACAGTGCCTTTACCTGCTGAGCCATCTTGAGAGCCCTATTTCTAATTCTGTGTGTGTCTGTGTTTTTATTTTATCTCTTTACTTACTTTGAGACAGGGTCTTACTATGTAGCCCTGGATGGCCTGGAACTCACAAGATTTGCCTGTCTCTGCCTCCCAAGAACTGGGATTTAAAGTTCATGTCACCATGACCAGTTCTCTACTTCTAATTTTTTTTAAAGGTGGGTGATTATGTTTGTTATATATTCTTTTATAAATACAAAACCCCACAATTATCAAAATGCTACTGGACTACCAAGTGAGTTCCAGGAAAGGCGCAAAGCTACACAGAGAAACCCTGTCTCGAAAAACCAAAAAAAAAAAAAAAATGCTAAATGTGAGTGATAGTATCACTAGCAATTAATTTATATTATTCTCTATATTGTTTATTTTCCAATAAAAAAGTGAGTATTAGTGTTACATGTTATTTGATTTTGAAAAACTCAAAGGACTTATTATTAGAGCAACCACTTATTTCCATCTTGTTGGAGGGAATTTAAAAATCTATTGGTAAAAAAGAAGCTAACTTTCTATTTTCAGTTTGTCAAAAAGCCTTTTAGGCTGCATGTTTGGGGCTTCCCATATGGAAGCACTGCTGAGCCTGCCTGCTTTTCTGAGTTCTAGCTCAGGAAAATAGAGCTTGAATTTTTCTTTCTGTCATTTTCTTCTGGATGCCAGCCAAAATCCTAGGCATGCTTTCCCTGACACTCTAGGCTTTCTCACTCCTGAAGTCCCTCTCCCCGTTTCCATGCAGCTTGCCAACCCCCACCACTGAACATCCACCTTTCCCAGATCCCAACTCACAAGGCATGGCCTTTTCTCTTCTCCACTTGCCTCGACAGCTGCCAAGATTTACAGATTGCTTGCTCTTACTTTTTCTCTCCCCAAATCTAATACAATTGTCCTTGAGCTTCTTTCTGCAGCCTGGGGAGGAGACTTCTATGCTGACACCAGCAAAGACACAATGACTATGAAAAGCTAGAGGAGCACATGCCCTACCAGCACTTAACATTGGTTTGCTTGTTTCTGTGGTGCTGAGGACTGAATCAGAGTAGACAAGCAATCTACCACTAAGTTACAAACCCAGCCTGGTATCGTAACTTTTAGAAAGGAAGATGTGTTCAAACATTTCTATTGTATTCTTATTTTAGGAAAACAACGATATGTGAACAAACACCTATCAGTACTTAGGATGTTTTTGTGGGTTTACAACATAAGTAACTAGAAGTAATGCATATGTCAAACAATAGTTAGATAAAGGGGAGTAAATTCACCGGATGAAGTGTAGTTACTGATAATGAAAATAACAATTATATGGCTTTCTGCCTGAATAAAACAAATACAATATCTTCTCTGCTTCTTAAAAATCCCACCAGAATGAAAGTAAGGAAGTTGGAAGTAAAAAGATCAAGACAAAATGAATTGGAAGGGGACAGCAGCAGAGCTGGGGTTCAAACACTGATCTGGCGCTGGAGAAAGGAAGCAGGGGAATGCCCAAATACAAGCTGTGTAGCTCTGCAATGCTTCAGATATGCCAGTCCTAAAAAGTGCTATATGTAAGCCAGGGAGTGGGTAAACTGCCTGTCACACAAGCATGAAGACCTGAGCTCAGATCCCCAGCAGCCAAGTAAAACACAGATGTGGATCTGTAACCCTAGTGCTGGAGAGGTGACGACAGAGGGATCCCTGGGACTCAGAGGTCAGTTTAGCCAATCACTGAGTTCTAGGTTCAGTGAGAGCCACTTTCTGGAAAAAAAGAAGACAGGGTAGGTCTACCACACTCCAGTGGAAAGCCACATATCCAAATGTATGGGCAGCATAAACTGTATTTGATAGGTTAAAACACACACACACACACACACACACACACACACACACACACACACACACACAATTGAGTGGGTAGGGAAAGGGGATTAATCTGGAAAGTTGGAAAGAAGGGTAAAAATGATCAAAATACATTGGATGAAATTCTCAAAGAACTAATAAAAAATGAGAAAAAAATCTTTTTTTAAAAAAGGTGAAGAGCAATAAACAAAAACACCTGATGGTAACCTCTGGTCCATATACACACTTCGCGCACAGACAAACACACACACACCATGCCCTTAAAGGTGAGACTGAAGCAAGAGCATTAGTACCTTCAGTTAAGGACTCCCAGATCCATGTCAGAACACTACCTCTCATCAGTGCTGGGAGAGGGCTAAGCTTTTGTTGTTTGTTTTTCAGGGTGAATCAGAGGGACTTTACATTTATGAACAACAGGAGAGCTGAGGTACTCAGAAGATAACACAGGGAGAAGAAACTTTAAAACAACCATAACAAATAAGCCTACATTCAGGAAATAAGAACAAGATGTCACATAAAAAAGAAATATTCAGTAAGTGTATACAGAAATTGCAAACACATGGAGATCTCATCTATTTCCCCTTCCAAGGTGATCCATGCATTCCTCTTAGGGTCCTCCTTGTTAGCTAGCTTCTCTGGAGCTGTGGGTGGTAGTCTGGTTATCCTTTGCTTTACATCTAGTATCCACTTATGAGTGAGTACATACAGTACATACCATGTTTGTCCTTCTGAGTCTGGGTTAGCTCACTCAGGATAATATTTTCTAGTTCTATCCATTTGCCTGCAAATTTCATGATGTCATTGTTTTTTACTGCTGAGTAGTACTCCATTGTGTATATGTACCACGTTTTCTTCAGTTGAGGGGCATCTAGGTTGTTTCCAGGTTTTGGCTATTACGAATAATGCTGCTATGAACATAGTTGAGCAAGTGTCCTTGTAGTATAATTGAGCATCCTTTGGGTATATGCCCCAAAGTGGTATTGCTGGGTCTTTTTGAAGTAGAGTGATTCCCAATTTTCTGAGAAACTGCTATACTGATTTTCACAGTGGTTGTACAAGTTTGCACTCCCACCAACAGTGGAGGAGTGTTCCCCTTGCTCGCATCCTCTCCAACATAAGCTGTTATCAATGTTTTTGATCTTAGCCATTCTGACAAGTGTAAGATGGTATCTCAGAGTCGTTTTCACTTGCATTTCCCTGATGACTAAGGATGTTGAGCATTTCCTTAAATGTCTTTTCGTCCATTTGAGATTCTTCTGTTGAGAATTCTGTTTAGCTAGCTCTGTAGATCATTTTTCAATTGGATTGTTTGGTATTTTGATGTCTAGTTTCTTAAATTCTTTATAAAATTTTTGAGATCGGCCTTCTGTCAGATGTGGGTTGGTGAAGATCTTTTCCCATTCTGTAGGCTGTCATTTTGTCTTATTTACCATGTCTTTTGCCTTACAGAAGCTTCTCAGTTTCAGGAGGTCCCAATTGTTGCTCTCAGTGTCTGTGTTACTGGTATTATATTTAGGAAGTGGTCTCCTGTGCCAATGCAGTCAAGGATACTTCCTACTTTCTCTTCTATCAGGTTCAGTGTAACTGAATTTATGTTGAGGTCTTTGATCCACTTGGACTTGAGTTTTATGCAGGGCGATAGATATGGATCTATTTGCAATCTTCTACATATTGACATTTAGTTATGCCAGCACCATTTGTTGAAGATGCTTTCTGTTTTCCATTGTACAGTTTTGGCTTCTTTATAAAAAATTAGGTGTTCACAGGTGTATGGATTAATGTCAGGGTCTTCAATTAGATTCCATTGGTCCACATGTCAGATTTTAGGCCAATACCAAGCTGTTTTTATTACTATAGCTCTATAGTAGAGCTTGAGGACAGGGACGGTGATGCCTCCAGAAGTTGCTTTATTGTACAGGATTGTTTTAGATATGTTGGGTTTTTTGTTTTTGTTTTTCCATATGAAGTTGAGTATTGTTCTTTCCAGGTCTGTGAAGAACTGTGTTGGGATTTTGATGGGGATTGCACTGAATCTGTAGATTATTTTTGGTAAGATTGCCATTTTTACTATGTTAATCCTACCTATCCATGAGCATGGGAGATCTTTCCATTTTCTGATATCTTCTTCAATTTCTTTCTTCAGAGACTTAAAGTTCTTGTCATACAGGTCTTTCACTTGCTTAGTTAGAGTTATCCCCAAGGTATTTTATATTATTTGTGGCTATTGTAAAGAGTGATAAACTGGGGGTGAGGAGGGCAACAGAGAGTAGGGGATGGGGGATAAGGGAATGGGATGGTTGAGCTGGAATAGGGACAGAGTGGGAGAGCAATGAAAGAGATATCATGTTAGAGGGAGACATCATGGAGATAGGGAGAAAGTGGGTGCTAGGGAAGTTCCCAAGAATCCAGAAGGATGACCCCAGCTTAGACTACTAGCAATAGTGGAGTGGGTGCCTGAACTGGTTTACCCTAGTAATCAGATCGATAAATACTCTGTCATCATAGAGTCTTCAATTAATGGAAGCAGATGCAGAGATCTACAGCCAAGCACCAGGCTGAGCTCCAGGAGTCCAGTCGAAGAGACAGAGAGGAAGGATTCTATGAGCTAAGGGCATCAAGACCATGATGGGGAAACCTACATAGACAACCAAACCAAACTAGTGGGAACTCATGAACTTTAGACCAACAGCTGTGGAGCCTCCATGGGACTGGACTAGGCCCTCTGCATAAGTAAGATAGTTGTGTAGCTTGATCTGCTTAAGGGGCCCCATGGCAGTAGGATCAGGATCCATCCCTGGTGCATGAGCTGGCTTTTTGGAGCCCACTACTT